TGCGCAGGCGGATGTCACTTCAGGAATGACACTCACTCTTGGGCGGTCTTTTTCTCCTGGACACGTGACTTTTCAAGAGTGAAACATCTCCGTCTAGGTTCCACGTCATCTTGAGGAAACGAAAGGATGTAGTGCTCCTATAAGACTGTGTAAAACCTTTGAACAGTGTGGATATTTTTGTGTGGCTTTCGACTATGCGTCTGGTTACTAGTAAGAAGTATCTGTGAGTATGAATTTCTTGTTACGATAAAGGATAAAGGATAAAGCTCTCGGCGTTGATCAATTCCTGAGGGATGCGCCATGCATTCGACTTCACTAAGTATCGTTGGAAGTGACTGAGTGCATAGGCCTTTACAATGACTCGTGGTGGCTTACCGATGTACCGAGCCGGTGGCGCTGTCCTCCCAGACAAGTCTGGTACCAATTTGCCGACTTCAGAGGGATGGAAGGCTTGGTGCGCCACATGGGAGCTGAGATCGACTCCACGTGTGTTACAGGGTGCCTCCAACCACTGTGCTACACTGCACCCTCTTGTTATGATAAATCGTAAAATTGTAATTAAGTCGAGATTATAAACCAGACATGGCACGGTAAGTTCCTCACACCACCTGCTTACTTTTTTCGGTGTAAAGTATGCTTAAAAAGCGATTGAAGGTGAAATTGAATGATAAATCACATTCTAGTTTGGCTTTACGAAACGTCTTAATGGGAGCAATATGTCTGAATAAAGAACAATAACACCTCGCGTTTGCTCAACAAAAATACGAAGAATTACTTGATCACTGCCGAGGTTAATAAAAAGTCGGTCGTGGGAGTTACTGCAATATGTCTGATTTTAAATTTAACATTAGTGAAATTTCTTACAAGGACACTTAACGATGCTTCTGACTTTAATATTTTCTACATATTTAACACTTCGATGGTGAAAGCTCATGAATAAAGAACATTAGATGTTGCGTTTCTTTACGATAAGCCATTGTGAAATTTGATGACAGCTGTAGTTCATCAGTTCATAGAAATCTGCCCGACCTAATGGACCTGTAAGCGCCATCAACTTTCCCACGGAAATATGAACTCCATGGCGAGTTCCCTCTTCGTTGAATTCCACTAAAATACTTTTGTTATTATCGGTCTCTGCCAATTCATCGTCACTGATCAATCTTATCGTGTCCTGATTTCTCATCACATTCACGGAATAGAAGGATCAATACGATAGTATATCATTAAAGTGAACCGTATCTCAATCAAACGAATTGCTAGGGATTGAAATTGGAGCATTTGGTTGGGTTTCGGTATTAGTGAATCGGTTTGAAATATTGGTCCTTTTCAATCGCATCAGCGATCACACCTGTCACGTCAACGCTCGGTATGAGTTGTCTCGAAAAGGAAATGACAATCCATTCGGCAGATTTTGCCGACATACTACAGATATTGATCGTTGGATTTTTTTTTAAAAAAGAACCTGTTGTGGCAGTTCTTCTCGCTATCTGGTGGGTGCCAGTAGAAAGCATGATTATGTAGAGAATTCTAGTTGCTGCTTTGCAGCAACGTTGCTGTTTGGTTTGAACCATACTGTTAATGATTGATAGAGTCAGAGCGAGTCAGCTTAATTAATCGTTAAGTGGGTTCGACTCCGTTTAATGGGTGTGTATCATATAAGATGCCCATGAATTTGCTCTGAAAAGCACATTCATTTTCATTTTATCCTCATTTCAGTTAAATTTCAGACCTTGATGTATTCACATACATGCACAATTATGCTTATAAATAGTATAGAAATGCTTGATTTATTAAGGTAAAAAACATAATTTTTTTCTTCATTTCTTTTTTTAAAATCTGGCAAAGCTAGATGGCTTGAAAAGCTTTAGACGTCCTGATGAATCAGCGGAAGACGAATTTTGGTCATACCAGAGACGAGAAATGGACTTTTCAAGGACGTCGGTAGTTCACGAACCGTCGTCGGTGACTTCAAATGGCTCAGGTGATTAAATGGTGGCTGAGAGCACTTTTCTACATCTTGGAAATATCATAGGTAATATCTTAGAAAAGGAGAATGCAATATAAATGAGAGTATTTCTAAGACATCCAAACAAAGTGTCCAATTTTATTTTGATATGATACCTGTGTGATTATATGTTCCTGCTTTCGTGCACGAAGGACAATTGGCCCAAAGATTGGTTACAGTCAATTATATGCTCACCCGTATCCTTCCCATCTATACAATGGACTTATGGTCGTTTTATTTTCATATACATTTTCTCTCTACACACTTACATTTCTGATACGTTTACTATTCGGTACACATCGATGCATACGAATTCTTGTACTAGAAATAATTGCTTAAAATTATTCATTTTTACATCCGCTAAAGTCGCCACAGTAAAATAAGCTGCCAGTTCGCCGTAGTTTTACACTTTCTTATAATTGAACGTGTTCTTTGGTGAAATGGTGAACCAATACCAAAGAAATGTGGTGACCAAGATGACTCGATAGGATGACGGTGCGAGGCGGCAACCAACCTGGGATGAAAGTCCCTGATCGGTCAAGTTCGGAGGGCATGTCACAGAGAGGTTTTCGATCCGATGGAAACTTACAGGAAATCAGAATGAATACCGCTTTATTATGTGTAGATGAGCAAACCGATATCATCAAATAACAAGTCTATTCAAACTGCGATATACTTATTTGTATATACATACATACATATATACATATACGTATGTGTGTATATAAAGTATTCATGTGTACATATATTTACGCATATATGTAAAGTTACGTGATGATTTTTATAAATGTCTCTCTGTCTCTCTCAATTCTAGAAATTGTCGATCTTGAAAAAAAAAGGCTGACACATCGTCATTTCATTTCAAGTGAACCATGAAAGATAGACAATATATGAAAGATAGAATAAAGGAAGGCAGGATGTACGAAAGTTTTAACATAAAACTCAACAAAAAAATTGAGAATATGGCAGTGTGGAGAGTGTCTAATACTTCAGTACAGAATAGGGAAGAGATAGAACAATTTATAGCACCGAATTCACCACCGTAGCACCGATTATGAGCCTATCGCCCTCCCGAACAATGCTCCTGAAATGAAAAACAGTGAAATACCTTTGAAAACCATTCCAATCTACGAGTCAGTTTTCGGGAGAGCATCTTTGATGTTTTACTATGCTCTTGGTGTATTAGAAGTTCATTCTCTTCTTCCTATTCCTTCATTTTTATTTTCATCTGGTATTTTTATCGTGGAATGCTTCGAATATGAATTGCAGAACTTTCTTTGATCTCAGCCAATGGAAATCACAAATACATCTGAGTAGCGATGGGTAGTCATGGCAGTTCTTTCATTTCTAAATTTTTCTTCTCTGTGCACTGGAAATGACTGTTTATGATTGCGCATAGGATTGACTTATTTTCTTATTTCTGTTGACTGCTGAAAACCTAGTGGAAACTTTAATAACAACTTCGATGGAAGAGGGTTTAAACTGGAAGTTATTCATTAGTGACTTATTATCGCAAAATTTTCTAATCTCGGAAAATGGCAATCGGAAAATTCAAAAGTAATTGGTCTGGGGATTCTCTAGAACCTCCGACATCATACCTGAATTGAATAGTTCCACACAAATACTTCTAAACCTACATCAGTGTTATGGTCTGAAAAAGGCAAAAATAGGCACACTCGTACCTCTTTATATGTTCTATGGTATTTCTCTTCGACAACTTCTTTAGCGTCACCCTGAGGTGTCGACGCACCTCCTTCTGAAAACGTACAAATCAAAATCAGTTTCGAACCAAGTTGAATATCATAAAAAGTCCAAAACGAGACAATTTTATAAGATGTTCTGTGCGATGCCTTGGCTATCGCAATTCAACACAGTCTCCGCAAAAGGTTCACAGAAAGTGCATCGAGAATGAAAGAAGAAACGTGCTGTTCTCTGGTCTTTTGAAGGACTTCCTCCTAGACGACACACGTGCCATTCTATGAAAGAATGCAGTGGAGTTCTCTGAATAGGAAATGCGTCTCAGAAATCGTTAGTGAACCATGGCTCCCTTATTCGTTAGCTTGAGTGCGAACAAAAAGGAAACCCGTCTACAGTTTCTTTTCCCAATTCGTTCGCAGGTTTAGGTCTAGTTGCTTAACTACTTCCGTTAATAATTTGCTGTCATTTTAAAAAACATTTGCTGATTAGAATGGAAGAAAAGGTAAAGTAGAAGAGTGGCAATGTAATCAAGCTGTGAAGTTCGTTGGTTCGATCCCACGCCCCGGCACATCAGGTCCTCCATGCTTTCAGGGTCAGAAAATTTGTGGTAGCTTGTATTAGATTATAAAAATACTGAATTAATACATCGTTAGGCCATCGCAAGTTATTGTATGGGCCGAATGTGTATTCAGTCGCCTCACCGATGTTTGATGAAATCGGATGCATAGCGCTTTCCTCAAGGATTGGTAAACGCCGAGAGCTTTATCATTTGTCCCTTTATGAAATAGTATGTCATCGAAAGATATTCGAACACCCTTTGGAATCAGATCTCATTTAGGCTTCGAATACTCATAAATCCATCCTATTTAGGAATTACCGGTAGTCTTTATTGGTCGTTTTGTCTTCTATTTTTGGTCGCGCTGCTCCTAAGAATTATTCATGAGCTGATGGGACAGTAAAAGGTCAACGCGAGGGCAATCCACAATGTGGGTCGACGGTGTACTGGATCGCCCATAAGCGAATTCGTGTTCTATTCAGCGATTGCGAAAAATGATAAAGAGATGATGAAAAAAAACTTACGAAGTACACAGATAGCAACCACAATACACCTAGAATTTCGCCTTTGGAGGTAATAGAAGATTAGCAGCTCTTTAGCTTTTTAGCATAGATTATTATGGAATTTCAGATTGCATATGCGACACAAAAGGCGTCGAAAAGTGAACTTATCGATAATGAAGAAGAATAACTAATGGACTCTTTAAAATATCTGATGAAGTGATTTTGAAAGGATTGTGACTCAACACAAACTCAACGAATCGCGAAATTCTGTTTGAAGGTAGCAATTGTCTGGACAGCAACACTCACCAACGTTTGCCGAAGAAGTACTGTACTGCTTCATCCTGTCCAAGGTCTTATTCATCGGTTCAGCAACGATCTCGAGAAGGTCGTCTGCCCATCTGCCTGCGTCGTCTCTATCTACATATAGATCCAAACAATTTCTTCAGATGAGCAGCGACAAGTTTGAAAACAATAGAAAAATTTTCATACCACGGTGAAATAGGAAGTTCAACAACATTCATTTCATGTTAACCTTTTTTTGTAATCACTAGTGTGCCAGCTGTCTTTTTAAAAACATGCACATGCGATTTCATTTTTTGTAGTACATAGGTATGAATAATCGGAAACATCACTAGGACCAATAAGGATGAAGTATTAGAAGCACGCCGTAATTTTGGAGGAAAATATTATATGAGCAATATTTGCGTCAAGGGTGTGACGCATGCCAGAATGCCAGATCGACACAGATTTCTGGGTCTCTTAGGGATGTACAATGATTGCAGGCGAAAAGCCAACTACATCTACTAAAGAAGCGACTTTAAAACAACTAAGCTTTGTTGGACAAGGAGGAGTAAATCATACCTTTCGCAGGTCTTGCCGCCTGAGAGCTAACACCGCTAGCAACACCTCCACCCGTGGTGGAAGTTCGTGTTTCATGTCGAGATGACGAGAAAGTGTCTAGAAAAGTAAAACACAGCAGTCGAGATAGAGAAGTGCATGCTAGAAGTGCAGGATAGGGATTTGAAAATGACACACACCGTAGTCGTAGTTTGAGTATCCACGAGCCTTGGATCGCACAGTGTCGTAGGCATTTCCCGTATCGGATGTGTATCCCCGCGGTGTAGAACGGTCAGGAGAACGACTAAGTGTGTCTAGCTCCCGCTGTAAGGTGCTCAAAGCATCCCGACGTGCATGCGGTGTACTCGGTCCGGGACGGGAGCCATCCAGCAATGTCTGACTGGCGTACCTCCTCGGGGAGCCGACATCTGAGCGGCTACGATAATTGTAGCGCTTACTGAAAGTGTCGGTGCCCTGCCGATCAGCCATCGAACGAGTGATGTACGAGGACGCGGTACCGGAAGCTTGACGGGAGCGCTGTTCAGCCGATCGACTTTCCATTGCTGCCGATTCAGAACCTAAGAACTCGCGAACCTGAGTAACATTCATGCAAATCAATGGAAACATTTTAAAAAATGTTGCCACAACCACCCAAATTTCTATCATGCTGCATGCTAAAAAGTTTACAGATATAAGAGAATCTGGGCAGAATAGCTTACCTCTTGCCAGAGCCGAAGCAGAGAGCGACCGTCTATTTCTACCCAAAGTTCCGTACCCATCGCCGTCTGTAGCGTATTTGAGGTAGTCGCCTGGCTGAAACTCACAAAGCCACTCAATATTTTACATATTCGCAAAGCCTTCCACAATTCAATGGTTTGGATCAGAGTGATTGTAGTGATACAGATAAGTTTAAACGAGACTCAAAGTTTACCAAATACAATTCGACGCCTAGTTGCCGGTACCCTAAGCGTATTTTTCGATAACTAAAGCATTTGAGAAGCTGAGACTTAATAATCTTAGATAACAGACTTTGTTATATCGCTTTGTTTGTGAAGCTTTTCTAAGACGTTTTAATTTTATCTTTGTTTAACGCACAAGTTTCTAAGAACTTGGGAACGAAGTTCAAATTTTTAAAGATTTTCGACGCGAGGGCAGCGGTGGAAAATATCAAGTATGCATAAGGTAAGCTCTTGCGTCCTCCTTCACAAAATACGTTCTTGTTCAGGCAGGTTACAGTTCAAAATATGGGCAACTACGGAAGAAAAAGGCGAATAGAAGGTTTATGGACTCTTAAAAAATTTAATTTTGGTTGAGTAAGAAAACTCGAGTAATGTCGCAAGATCTGCAGGTTTCTCTAATTTTTTCCTTTTAATAAATATAATTCGTTATGACCTGAGATACGTCTGCTTAAAGTTGAACACCAGAAATATTTTCGACCACGTATAAATGTTAATGAATTCATATGATCCAGTCAGCCTCCACTGACTTCAAATACGAGTTGAGATCAACTCAAATGGGGCGGTATATGTTAAGAGAGATTAACGATAGCAATAAACTACATAAAAAGCACGAAACTATTGCTTACATGTACATATGTGTATGCGTGCACAGACTCGTCATAAACGATTTTTGGCTTCAACGAGCTCGTAAAAAATGTCTACAGCCTTCATTCAATTTTACGTCTGAATTTAAGAAAATCAAGGAACCCACAGTGTAGTGCCTTCTCAGCGTGCTTCTTCGCGAAGTGCTGCTTATTTCTTCCAACTCTTGAGCCAGTTGGTGTGCACTGGAGGTGTACCCAACCGTATCCGGTTGCTGATTATCTGAAAACTATTTGTTTTAGTTTTTTGCTCAATATGTATTTCTATGCGACCCATCTTTCATATCTACTCTGCGGAACCCAGAACTTCTTCCATTCGATTCGTTTCCTCGCATTCATCATCGACGAAAGTTTTCTAACTTTTTACATGTGGATTCCTTCGTCATGAATATCGTTTAGTGCTGGCTGAGTCGATTCTTCCTGGAGTCCTGAGTTAACCGGGCTAGAGCGTTCCTATTTGGATTGCAGAGAGTGGACTTTTTTCAGTCAAGTCCGGTAGCAATTTCTCGACCCTCAGTAAGGTCAGAGGTTTGGTGAGCCCGAGAAGGGAACGAACCAGTATTGCGCTCGTGATGGTAGGCAACACTACCACTGTGCTACCAGCTCTCTTATTTAGTACACAAATTGTATAACATATATGCATTGAAAAGTATATTTATTTCATATATATATGTATATATATATATAGTGCACATTACATGCTTCGTTTTTGTTTTTCGATCAACACACATCAAATATAACGATGTCATCAAACTTGACTAACTATTTTCCAGTTCAATGTAGGATGCAGCGGAAATGTTGACTGAGCAATGTCAATCAATTCAGAAACTCGTTCACTCACAAACGTGGTAGATCTTGGTGGAATGGATCTCGTCTCCTTTAGTTTTTTCAAGAGAAGTGAGTCGCTCGGTGAGCTCAGTCAGTGATTGCTGAATACGGCGTGAATCCTCGAATGTCTGCAAACACTTCGGCTTCATTCCGTGTCCCCGTCCAAGCGTCGAAACGAAAAATACATAACGAAATGGATAGGAAAGTGTCTGACTCAATGTTCTTAATCTGCTGTGAAGGCTAGAAATCCAGTTAAGCACTCTTAAGATGATTTCTTCCTCTACGAATCTTGGCGAAAAGTATTCTTTGGATGTTCATTAGAAGAGAAATCGCACGTAAGCAAAATTTTGAAAGATTCTCATTCATGTTTTCATTCTAAAAAAATTTCCAAGAATATTCCAATTTTCCTAAAAGATTTCCCGAAATACTTGGAAGATTGATAATCGTTGAGAAACCTATTCAATGTACGTTATCTGTACAGCTTACATTCCGACAAGAACACAAGTAGTATAGTTCTAAAGGATCAGGTGATGAAATCGCAAAACGATAAAAACGTACCCTTCTCTCTCCGGTTCTGCTGGAAACACCTTCTTTGAATCCGTCAACGTAACCCTGCTTGAAATCATCCTGGCCAGGGTACTGCTCATCTAAGCGCGCGATCAAAGAAGGCGTGACACGGTCGCCAAAGATACCAGAATTTCCGTCCTGAAAATAGACTTGAGCTCCTTATCCATCAAATGGTATAGGTAAGTAATACTGCCTCTAATTATGTCAAGTTATTTTATCATTCAAGAGCTGTAGGAAGTCTTCAAGCCATAGAAGCAAGCGATTCAAACATTTAAAAAATAAAAAGCCAACACTTCCAGCATTAGTCACTAGTTTAACTTTTAGATATTCTCTAGAAACCTCGACAATCCAGTTATGTTAACGTTAATGAGTAGAATAGGCAAAGGCCTTAGGATGAAGCCATGGTTCTTTTTTCTCAGTGTTTATTTTTAATGTATAGTTTTATTTATTAAATGAATGTTAGTGGTAGTAGAAAGATTGATTACGATTCCACTTTGAGGGAACATTTGGTCCGCTTGCAGAAGTCGTGAGATAATCCTCAAAACTGCATACACTATCGCTTCATTGACCTATATGCAACTGGAACCTTTCTGCTCTGAACTCAACGAAAGTAGGTACTACAAGACCAAATTCAATTTGCCGTCTCAGCGAATTTGCGAACCGCTGCATGTGAGTTTAGTATGTTATCAACGCGATTCACCAACGTGTGTAATACCGCTCTTCATTGTTTTACAAAAATTGTGTTGTATCGGCACTGAAATTACGTGATGTCTGCGATACCCTTAAACTACTTTAAAGAAAAGCAAAGGACGATTTTGTTTTTTGAATACTTGATATATGATACTTGGGTGAATTGTCTTCACGAAGAATCGCACGGTTCTCAACACAAAACTACTTATCCTGTAGTCCCAAGGTTTCTGAAGTACTAACAACGGGGTGTTGAGGTTTTGATGGAATGGAAGGAGTGTTGCCGTATTGCATCTAGAATTTTCCAAGGAATCAGTGATTGCTGGTCGTTGACATTTAGTTAGGCTTTCCAATGGCACTCCTCAATTTTTTGTCGGCCATAGTGATACCGGCTAGGAGATGAACCATCACTCAGTATACATCGCAGACGTCCAGGTAAACCTATCCCTCTGTTGAACCTCTTTGAACGAGTGGCTATAAAAATAATATAATGCCTTCCAAGGAATGGAGAGACTTTTAGATTCACTTTGTGGAAGTTATACTACACGAGTTCCTAAAATGAAGGAACAGCCTCATCTTAAGTAGATTAGGAGATCACTTTACACATTTCACCCGAATCATCAGTGAAAGAAATCACAGAAAGTTCGTAGTCGCTGAAATTCCCTGCGAACCTACATCTCCAATTAACGTTGAAACCTTAAAGATGAATACGGAGATCTAAACCATATTCGTTCTCAGTACTTAATGATCTAATTCAAAAAAACATAAAAACATCAGTAAGCCCTAAAGTACACATGAGAACAATGTGATCCTCAAAATTCTACGTATTGGAAATCTAGGCAGAAGTTATTATGTAGAGCTTTTACCATCACCCCACAGCACATCACGTTTTGTCCAAAAAAGTTGTTCGCGCATATGTACGCGAATAGTATTGCTCTCACCCCGAAATCGGATAGCAGATTTTTTTCTCTTTTCGTAAGGAAAGAGGAAATTTTCTATGGAGGGACAGTGTTTGTTCAAAATGAGGTCATCCGCTCTAAATGTGTTCGTCGATCGTTGTCGGATTCGTGACGATGACCGATAATTGGACGCTGGCCAATATGTGATCACATCCATCCATCCGGTGATTGTTTATCACCGCTAGCCGGTCCGAATTTGTGTCAGTACGTGGCCGATGAGACAGAGACGGTCACATGTTAGCAAAAACAAGCGCAATCGGAAAGACGAGGTAATTCTTCAAACTAGAAGGCCATCGCTAGAAAACGGGGACGCAGGGGAAATTTCTATTCTTGTGAAACATCATACTTGAACGGGCACCTTCATATAGAATTGTGCAGGCTCCTCTACTTGCACTTTGCTAATCGGACAAAATTTTCTTTACCGAAGATCGAAATAGAAGGATCAAGGATACAACTCTTGGCGTTGATTAATCCCTAAGGCATGCTCCCTCCATGCATTCGACTTCATTAAGCATCGTTTGGAGGTGACTGGTTGCATATCTGGTTTTTACAATGACTCGCGGTGTCCTACCTATCGAGCCAGTGCTGCTATTCCTTCCAGACATGTCTCGTGCGAATTCGCTGATCCAGGAGGGATGAAAAGCTTGGTGAGCTGAAGTGCGAAATCGAACCCATGTGTACTACGCAGCGCCTCCAACCACTGCGCTACATGTGCCTTTCTGTACTTGTAAATTATCTTTCCCAGAGATCGAAATAGTCTTGCTAATCGTTTGTGAAGCTGTCATCACAGGCAGTCACCAGCTATAACGGAATGCAAGAGATATTTGCATTCTTGTGATGCGATCAGAGCGGAGGTGATTCCTAGCATTTATTTAATTTATTCGGAGTTGGTTATCGAATGGAAATGTCTATGTCTCATTGACTTAGCTGTGCTCAATGACGAGCCGGCCGCTGTCAATCGTAGTTTGACATTCAAGAACTCTCCAGTCATGATGGCCATTGGAATGTTACTAGTGTGAAGAATTGATAGAAAAACACTCACGTCGAATAAAATGTTGTAGTTACTTCTGTTGGAAGTATCTGTGATCTTGACTTCTTTAGATCATCACAAAACGGTCCTCAGTAGAAATATTGGTGGCGTGTATAAAGTCATACAAGCGAGTACAAAACTTATGGAATCTCAACGCGATCGAAGGAGCTCGCGCTTTTTTCCGGCTAGATCTTTTTTCTGATAATTAACATTTCGAAAAATAAATATACATACGCTGACGTATGCCTGATAGCTTCCATGCAATTTTGGTACCATGCTGAGATTCACTTCTGGCACTGCAATGTGTGGGAAAAGTCAGAATTAGAACAAACGCTTACTTTGTATCCCTGCATAAAACCAGTCGAGTATCCTCCACCGGTCCCTCTTTGAGCTAAATTGTGCATTGATGTTGACATTCCAGTGAGACCGGCATCTCTAAATAGGTAATCTTCTGAAATATCGAATAAGCAGCCTTTTTTGAACTACGATTAGTCATAGCTAGATGTCGAAATTCAAAATCTCTGGTGCAGATTTTTAGGTACTTCATATGCCATGTAATGGCTACTGAAAAAGATCTTTCAAGTTCTGTAAAAGAGATGCACATACTTAAGGCCTTTTACATATCCCTCATGGAAGCGATCATCTCTGCCACCGTAGTCGTCATCCATTCGACGCCGAGCAGCACTTGCGGATCCGAGCTTATTTGCATCTTTGTATCCTTTCATGTAGCCATCCTCAAAATCGCCACGAGCTAAAGCACAATAGTCTCTAACGTCCTAGCACAGAACTCATTTGCAAATTTTCTAAGGCCACCGTTGAGACATTTGCGATTCACTGTTTCCATGATAATTTATTGACCTGAGCCAGGCACATTCCTCACCTATGTTAGACTATGCGCGGCTCATTTCCATCAAATAACAGGAAGACGTACAAAGAACAAAGTTGTGGCTGCTTAAAGAAAGCAGTTTATTGTGCGAATGAAAATTTCTGCATCAAATTTTATCTGCTGATGACTGAGTAGATTGCATGCCAATCTGACCCTTCCAGACTTTGGAGGGGGCGAAACCGCCGAAACGTCAGCTACTGCATATTAATACTAGGTTGTTCAGAAATAAATGAGCATTTCTAACCATATTCTTCAAAATGCTATAACATGCTTAGAACAAAGCTATACTGGTGAAAGAAAACCATTTGAATCTACACATTTTCACCAACTGGAAACAAGTTTATTTACTTCAGTTGCATAAAATTCTGGAGCTCTGGAAGCGATGAATTCGTTAAAGGCATTTTTTGCGTCATCGTGGCTGGTGAAGCATTTTTAGCACAGGAAGTTGTCAAGGTGATTGAAGAAGTGATAGTAGATAGTCGAGAGGTCTGATGAATATGGCGGATGAGGCGAATTTTCGCAGCTCAACTCGTTCAACTTTTGCAGCGCTGGTTCCTCAACATGAGGCCGGGCGTTGTCATGGAGAGCCGTTCGGTGTTTTCGGAGTTTACGGTGCATTTCGTCGATTTGTTGGCAAGGCAATACTTTTCTGCCGCATTCGTTTCACCCGGATGAATCTGCTATGAATCAATCCGGCTGCAGACGATCAAACAGTCACCACAACCTATTCTTGGTGCAATTTCGGTTTTGGGAAGCACTCCGGAGCTTGGTCGCAAACCAACCATTGAGTCGAACGTTGCTGGTTGTCGTACCGAATCCACTTCTCGTCAGAAGTGACAATTCGATCGAGAAAAGTGCCTCTTTTGTTGCACAGAATAAGAAAAGACGACACTCTAAAATGCCCATTTTTATTATCGTTTAAGCACCCACTTGTCGAGTTTTTTGTCCTTCATATGGGGTTAAAGTGGGTGGAAATTGTTCCTGTGCCTACGTGAAGTGGTTCTGCAAGCTCTCGAGCAGTTGTTCGCATGTTCTCTTTCACTAGTGCCTTCAATTCTTCGTCGTCGAATTGATCGGGACGTTTGCGGCCTTCCTCATCTTCGAGGTCGAAATCACCTGATCGGAATTATCGAAACTATGTTCGCATTTTTAACCTTTTATTTACTGCCTATTCTTTTTAACGTCAGGGTATGTTGCGAAATATAACTTCTATAATGCTGAGATATTTGCAAAACTCCGGACCGCAGATGTCTGCGGTGGGGAACGAACGCGCTGTTGTCCTTTCCGGGGAGTAACGCGTTCACCACCGCACCATGTGGGTCCTTCGTTTCGCCTGTCTCTCAGCTATTTCTATCGATCTTTTTGCCATCAGCAATCACCCGTCAACAGGATTGATCTGGGAACCCCAAATCGGCATTGAACCCAGTTAAGCTGAGGCTATAGTTATAATCATAATCTTAACCTTTTTATTTACTGCCTATCATTCCTATTATGTTGAACGTGTTACTCCCCGGAAAGGACAATAGCGCGTTCGTGCCCACCGCAGACACCTGCGGTCCGGAGTTTTGCAAATATCTCAGCATTATAGAAGTTATGTTCGCATTGTTAATTCACCAACACTACCTTCACGACAAACTTCATTAATGTTTCAACTTGTCTCTGCTACACTGCGACAGAGTTTGAACCCATAAAAGAAAATTTGACGAAGTAACAATAACGACCTCATGTCTGCTCATCAAGAAAACAGTGCATTCTTCATCAATGCCAAGGTTAATGAAAATTCGGCTCTGGGATTTTCTATATTTGCGATTTTGTCTCTCAGAATTTGGATAGACGAATGGCTTTAATGATAGTTTAAATAGATTTAAAAAAATGACTCCTGAGGATCTGGAAGCAGCCTTATGTGAGCGTCACATTTCCATTTTATCACATTATTACATGACCCATCATCACATTTACTGTTCGGATCCCAGCACTTCTTGCTTTCGATTCGTTTTCCTCGGACTCACGGTCCACCAAGGTTCTCCAACGTTTCACGTGTTGTTTCGACTATTGCTTGAGGATTTCGTCTTCTTTATGAATGTAGCTGAATGCTGGTCGAGTCGATTTTCCTTGTAATCTTGCACCTTGCTTCGTGGTGGACTGCACCGCTGGGCACTCTGCTTCACTCCAGAACATCACATTTGCAACATATTATTCATTGGTTGCAGTCTCCAGCTCTTACGTATGAAAGTGTAAAATATTTCTGGCATAATATAATCACCACACAGCCACATTCAGGCACGCGCCGCGGGACGCGCGGAGTGGCGATGGCCAATCACATGAGAGATGGTAGGTACTTTTGACATCACTGCCCATGATTTGTTATTCATCTGTAGCTTAGAGAAGGTGAGCGAAATAGGACTTGAAGTCTTTCGTGAAATCATAACACTACAAAAACGTACTTATCCACGCTTCGTTTGTAGTCAGTGTTATGGACTAATCGTAAATGCAAGCTCCCTAATATGGTCATGACTGGGTGTAAAATTTTAGACCTATTTTCATATCACAATAGGGGCGTATGTGGAGTAGTGTTCAGAGGCGCCCCATAATAAGAACAGAGTTGTAGTGGGATCCTGCGCCTCGGCAACCGATCTTTCTTAGGTCGGTAAATTTGTAATAGACTTGTATAGGAAGATAAAACACTGAGCTGGTGCATTGGTAGACCACCACACAAGTCATTATAAAGGCCAGATGTGCATTCAGTTGCCAATTTGTTAGAGGAGAGAGCTTTGTCACTTACCGTAACAATCGGTACATTAACACAAACGACTGGAGCTTATGAGAACAAAAGTGGTCTCCAATTCGCAATGTCATAACCTTTATTTACTACTATTCTTTTTTCATGGTGGAGTATAATGAGAAATAAAAGCACATTGATGCTGACATGTGGGCAAAACTCAGAACCTCAAACGCAATTACCTTTTCCAGCGTCTGGCTTCTCACTTAATTGTGTTCACTGTCTATTTGTGCTCCCCAGATGTTCGATTCCATTCGCGGGTGATTGCTGATAGAACCGTTAGGGTAAAAAAGCTAGCTGAGAGAAAGGAAGCAAGGGTCTTGGTGGGGCAGCTTGTACCACGTGAACACCTGGAAAGAATAGTTCCAGGTTGGCTGAGGTCCGAATTTTGCAAATATCTCGGCATTATTGTAGCTGCATTCCACATAATAACCTGGCATGAAAAAATAATAGGCGGCAAATAAAAGTCAAAACATTGTGATTTCGACTGCAGCTTCAGCTCAACTGGGTTTAATGCCTATTTGTGCTTTCCGGATCAATCATGTTGACGAATGATTGATGATAGCACCGTTAGGATAAAAAATTAAAAGAAAGGTAGAACGGTGGCCCCGGTTCGTGCAGTTGATAACACGTGAGCCTCTGGAAACGGTAATCGCGACTTTAAAGCGCATTTGAGGTTCCGAGTTTTCCTCACATCTCAGTATCGTTGTTCCAATATGTTCATCGATAGGCTGACTTCGGTCATTGGTGCACTTTTTCACCCATCCGTTTTCGGGAAACATTTTGGCAGGAGAATTGGAGTTTCAAATACAACTTGGAAAATTTGGTCAAAAGCATCTTATAGAAAATGAATACAGAGGTAGGTAACGCAGGGGTAGCGATGGTGATCATGTTAAGCACGATGCTATAACATCTTGCAATCCAAGAGGGAAGATTTAGTTGTCACTCGAGAAAAAATCGAATCGACCACTATTCAACGACATTAATGAAAAGAAGGAAACCCTCAAACAGAGTCGAAGTCACACTCAAAATGTACAAAGACCTGTCGATGATGGATGCGAGAAAATGGACCGAATGAAGGATGCGCTGGGATCCGCACAGTAGATGTGAAGACGAGTCGTGTAGTGTGAAAAAAGTGCATAGATATGCTTCAGAGAAAATACGTTCAAAGTGGAGATCAGGAATGAAAACTTGATGTACGATTTCTGTAGTCTAGTCTGTGAGCTTGTATTCGGATTGCAATGGAAAAAAGGGACAGACGATAAAGCATTCGTTATTGATCAATTCGTGAGCGATGCGCAATGCATTCGGCTCTACTAGGCATTATAGAGGTGGTTACTTGCACATTTTTCTTGTACAATAAGTTGCGGTATCCCACCAATGCATTAAGTTAGTGTTGCTTTCCTCACAGGGAGGCTGATTCCAATTCGCCGAACCCGGCTTGATGGACGGCTTAGTGAGCCTGGAGAGTAGTATCCAACAAAAGGGGTCGATCCGGTGCATATCGCAGGGCATGCAGTCATAGCGCTATGCGCACCCATTATAATAGAAAAGGTGAATAATTCACTATGTAAGCAGAAATTTTACAATCTCTTCATTTATATGAAATTAAGATCAAACAGAATGCTGGTCTAAGTATTCATGAAAGGCAGGCAAGCACGATTTGATCGAATAAACTTTAGTCAAAAGTAATTTAATAGTAGTGAAGAAGTTCAATCATCTAAACCAAACATTTGTTTTGCATGGTGTTACAGTACAATTAATTCATAAACTCGTTAATGCAGAAAAGGAGTCAAGTAGATAAGTTAATGTTGAGTTAACATCGTCAGAATACGGTTTTCAGGCAGTTCAGCCGGAATCCAGCTTTCTTTTGGACGGTTCATAAGTGAAATCGTTGCGAATCGCCATGATGAGAGACCAGCTGGGTCACGACGATTATCGGTTGGAGGCATTGGGGGCCGGTAGTGCTCGATTTTCCGGTTCTATGCGCCTTCTGTTAACAACAAACGTGCAGTTTTCAATGGGCCACGCCTCAGTTCTTGCCATCGCCATTCCACTGACGATTTCCCTACATACCGATGGTGGTGGGTGATCGAGAGACGACAATGAAAAGTCAACACAGCGGAAGTGTCACCCGTACGGCAATGATATCTATACTACAGTACCTCACTAACTTATTTGAGATAAAGCTGGTTTTCGATAACAGGCCGTAGATTCACGATCACTGGAGTGTTTCAGGAGCTTGGAACCCTGTAGATTTATTGAAGACACTTTGTTCTATTGCCTTTATCGACTATACCATTTTTATTTGATACCATTTAAATTTAGATGCGTTTAAAAGCAGGATTTTCAAAAAATTGCTAGAGAAACTTAAGGTTCTGGAATTTCTGCTGGGACAGCAACAGTTTCAAATGCACACGCTGCACTAGCAAATATCATCGTGTCCTGCTGGACGAAATATCGCTTATTCTCTGGCTGTCGTTTTCAAAACGTCGGATTTTAAGCAAAAGTGGAGGGATCATATGCCGTGGACTCATAGAAAGCTGAATTTCATCGTGCTAGAATGCAGAAGAAAAACTCCTGTAGGCAAAGATTTGCAGATTCTAGCAGCTGCTTTTGAAATGGATAAAATTCACTATGAATTGAGATACGTTGGTTTCTATTCTAAGGCGGCCAATATCTTCGCACTTCATGACTCCTATAGAGGTCACCTCTTTGTATAAGTGTTAACATTGTGTTTCGATTGCAAAATTTAATGTCAGACTCGTGAAAGGCTTACAACGTCCGTCGACAGCACCACGCATTTTGTCGAGCCGCGATTCAAGTGAACGGAGATTCGCCTCCATGCCAGACTTGTCCTAAAGATGTAGAAACTACATACGGTTCTGCACGAAGTACATTGCAGACGAAGCACACCTCTTCCAGAAGTGGCACGTGCTGTCCATTTGTGACCATCCGTCGATGCTCTTTACGAGTACGGTATCGTCTGAAGAAAATAGCAGAAATCAAAGCGTATATTAGTGTAAAGCCAAACTATAGGAGAATCTATCCATGCCGCTTAGAAAATTTGTTAGAAATTAAAAAAGGATTGGTGTTTACTAGGCAATCAAACGTATTAGAACGAGCGGTTTCGAACACACAAAGACTCAATGTTATTGTCGAAATCGATTTTACATTAAGAATGCAACCTCCGACAGTTTGTTAAAATTCTAGTCTACTTCCAAAAGTTTACATCGGTAATGCTATGAAACGGAGGAATAATGATTTATCAATGTTAAGAGGAATATGAGTACCCTTGAAGGCACCATAGAAGACAACAGCAGAGCAGGATTAGCAGTAGTAACGTCAGCAAGAGAAGCAGCAACCACCACCACGGCCATCCGGCTGCCAGGTACGGTGAAGCTGAAACGGACTAGGGTAGGAATCAAGGCATGCATCGTCATGCACGGAACAGGCGTGCATGACGAACTCACTGCGAAAAGCAGCAGATCCAAATCAGACACGGCACGAGGACAGCGACAGCGAGTAGTACCGGTAGCAACCACCACCACGGAACTCGCTGCCACCAGTGGCGAACATCTGCAGAGTGCCAAAATGTTTGCTATTTTTAAAGAGTTTTTTCGTCTCATTTCTCTCATTTCATGCGAATGAATCGTCAAATCGTTTTTGTAGGTTCGTCATTTCCACGATCAAACGATCGTAATAAATTGTACGCACTTATCTGGACGTTGACGTTACTCTAGTTTTTCTACAATAAACTCTACTCGATGTGGCAGCACCAGACATACTTGGAATTAATGTTTAATGTTCCCACATAAAACGTCCACAACGCGATGTCAACTTTCGATGGAAAACAAGACTTGTTTACCTTTTTGCGAACCATATGAGCACTTAGAGAACATATTTAGTTTTGCTAAATGATTGAACGGTTTTCGATTACCTTTCGTGAGAATGAGAAATGGTGGACGGAAAAGTTCTTTGAAGGCTTTCACACTCATTTCAAAGATGCGCAATTTCTCCAAATAAAAGTAAAATTATGAACTAATCGGAAACCAGATCAGGTCAGAAATTTACCTATGAGAAAAAGCAGCGAAAAATCGCGCTAATCGAATTACAAGCTAGTGCGCTAGGTGAAATTACGCGCCAAGTAGGATGTAAACGATTAAAGGTAGAGCAATATAACTGGATATAAATGAGACATAAATAGAACCCACCATCGGGAAATAAGGCCATTGGATTGCGACGAAAAACTGGCAGAGGGTGGTCTGCGTCCCCACCGACCACCACGCCCCGATCACACTGCCTACCAGACGCCGCTTATCAGCTGCCGGCCGGGCGGCTCGGTCGTCGATGTTGCCCCACTCCAACGGCGCGTACCCAATACCGACGTGGGTTCCCCACCCGAAAAACACACACAGCACCTCTTACTGCGAACGAACTTATTATCATCATAGTATGTTGCATTGCAACCGCGTCGTCGTCATGTCTGATTCTTGCCGTGACCCCTGCGACGTCCATCAATTTTTGAAGACGTCATTCGTCGACTCCCGTAAGTAGTTTGAAATACTGCGCATATTGAGCACAGCTCGCACTTTTTGGATCATAAATGGAGACTTGATTGTATTAAGAAGTAGATTTTGGAAATAACGAAATCGAGGAAAACTCAGTATGGCCGTACAACTGTGACTGAATAGTCTCGTACAACTAAACCTTACACTACACATGTTGTCTCAGAAATTGCTAAAGCATATCACAACAAATCAACTAGATGTTGTTCTCACGGTACCTAATGGTATTTGCATAAACTATGGTCCCTACAAGTTTTCTTCTTCATGTCATCCTCACTCATAATTAAACATATAAATTACCTCTGCTGCGACCGACAACTGGGTTTCCGGTTACGTTCCACACCGTGTACACCTCGTAGTTATACTTCCTTCCCTTCACGAGTGGATAATTCAGATACCCACCAATGACTGTCCCATCGCCAATTCGTACCTGTAGCGTAAACGCTTATGTTTTGGAGAATTCCGAGCAGATATCATTAGTACTGCAGGATTTATGCATAAATAGTACAGCAGAAATAAAGGCAATAATATGGAATAAAATTATGGAATTAGAGAAGCAGCAAGTGGATGCCTTCACTTCAACGACAACACTTTAAGGGTTCGAGCCTATCACTCATTTCCACGATATAAAAAACCTTGTTGACAAGAGAAGTAGATGGGACTAGAATGAAGAAGGAGTAGAATGAAAAGGTATGCTAATGATCTTAAGCTAAAAGAAATCCAAATTTAAATTCTAATTTCGATCCACTGGTAAAGTTGTTAGTTGAATTTAACAAAAATTAACAGATTGGGCATAAATCTGACAGAGATGAAAGAGACAGAGGGTCAGGAGAACACTGTATTGTTCGTACTCCACTTATGAAGTTGCTGAGACAGTGTTTATGGATTTGGACGGTCAAGTAATCTGCATAACACAACCAATGTATGGCTAGGAGTTTTTACTGCTCTCAGACAAGTATCTTAGCGCAATGGGAGGAGTAATTCATCGAAGCTGAGGTTGAATCAATCACGGAGGACAACATGAAACGATGCGGGGACGACCAAATTAAGACAATGGGTCATTATTTCATTGTAGTATTCTGACTGTATTTTGTGATTATCATCCACTACGATTGATCGCTTGTTGACAGGTCTGTCGAATCAATTCTAGTTCTAAGCCAGGAAAAACTATCAGACTAGACCACTCTTAAGTAGACATTTCCAAAGTCATCTAACTCGCACAACTGGCAATTATTGGTCTTCGGAAGCCTAGTCATGACTTATTTTTTACAGTATTTCTTCTAACAGCATGAGAAAGTAGTAATAGAGAGTAGACCCTGTTTTCACTTCACTTAATGATCCAGTCTCGAGCAGAATTTCAAGGTACAATGTCGGTACAGCACTAGAAATTGCAACAAGTTTTCCCTAGTTTCTATTCAAAAATTCACCTTGATTCGTTTGCTCCTTTAAAGTAATGTATTGGAACGCTTTGTATGTGCTTTCGATACAGACTTATAAGGACGGTTTCTAGATGCTGCTATGAGCACACTGTCACTATTGAAAGAACAACCGCTGGTTCTATCATCACCAATAGGCTTCTCATGTTCATCTCTCCTTGCTTCGAGGTAGGTAAACTAGTCGTAAACTCATTCGTTAGGAATCTGACACATTTTGAATGATCTTCGCTTTTGTACGCCATTGTAAATACCATTACTCGTTGTTGTAGCTAAACAGTAAGAGAACATAGTAGGTGTTGGCAGCTGGAGAAATCGGGTGAACGGTTTCCGAATTAACTCCTCCGATTTGAGAACTCCTCGTCTTTTGACCGTCTCTCGAAACTTCCGAAAGTAAAATCCACTCAGATATTGTCGTACTTGGTGACCATAATGCGTTGAAAATAGGAAAGCATGGAAGGGAATCCTTTTTCCACTAAAAAAAAAACAGTACTACTAAGAACTTTTCGAAAAGCCTGCTATTTGCTGTTATTCTGTAATCACTTACGGACCTTTTTTTAATGGTTTTTTCACTCTTTTTATCCTATGCCCTTCATCACACACTCCGTGCAGTGGTGGGAGTTGAATAGAAACAAAATAGACTAGAGTATCCCACCTTTCTCGGTTCAGTTAAGGTGTTGATATCGAACGATGCCGCTACGTAGTAGGGAATTTTCAGCTTGTTGGCCGTCACCTAGAACAAATCCCTCAGTTATGTTACACTGATTCGAGTAATCTCAAACCTTATCGGTGAGTTCTGTCCAGTTCGTCTCTCCAGGAGGGTCTCGATCATCTACGACCACATAGTATCGGCTGAAGTTCACAGAGTTTTTTATTCACTATTTTGTCAGCCTAAGGCCTATGTTTACTTTTTAAGTGAAAGGCGAGCCATATTCAAGTAGGAGAATGAGAAGTGCACCAGAAACTGGTTGCACCGATGAAAATAAGTGCGCTTTATGTGGTCATGATTAACGACATGAAGCCGATGGCCTCGTAAGTGTCACTCATAGTGGTTTTTGGAATATGTGTTCCCCGGTAATGTCCAAACGAGTCCCGTCTTCTATAAAAGATCGGAACCAGTTCGGTCTCTGAATGTTTCTAATAGGAATGAGGAACGTACGTGACGGCCCTCTCGGTGGCGGCAGGACTCACATCCACTTCCCACCAAGACCCAGGACTGCCAATGTTCTCGACCATATAAGGTGGCGGAACTATGCAGCAGCTCCGGCGGATCTGAGACAGTATCACTGTTAACGTAAAGCAGGCTGAAACTCCATTTAAAAAACGACACAAAATTTAACTCTTCTTTGTTCTTTCCTAGTAAATTTACATGTGGAGCAAAAGTAAGCTTTCATTACAATCTTTGGTAGAGTTCTTCACCATTATTTCATTTAGTTCCTTTTCGGGAGAGACTTTAAAACCGACCTCAGCAGTCTCGCCTGTAATGACTTTCCTTGCAGCTGTTCGCCAGTGATTCCATTCGCCATCGACCCTAGCCCGCACCTGGAAAAGGAAAAGTGTTTAGCGTTTTTATTTGACCGTTAAACATCTTAAAGGACCGAGAAAGTTCACTAGCTTCAAGATTTCATTTTCATCGTAAGCGCAGTTGATGCGTCAAGATGTTTCAAATCCCTACAACCAAGATCGGAACGAATCAGTCTTATTCAATCACTTTTCTCCACTTCCGCAAACAAAACGCCACTTTACGAACGGTCACGAATTTGTAAACAGTCCGTTAACACAGACCGTAATATTTGTTGAATAGAGCTATTATGTCTGCAAACGGAAGCACAAACTAATTTGAACAAGGAAAGCGTTGAAACAGAATAGATTTCACAGACTATTCGTTTTTCGTTTCGCCACCATTGTTCTTTTTTCGATTATAAAGCATGAGTGGCTTTTTTAAGCTATGACTACTATTGTCGCACGTGGCGCAAGGATCGCAGGCGCCCTGCAACACACAAGTGGAATCGATCTCCGCGACCATGGCCCACCAAGCCCTCCATACTTTCGGCGTCGGCAAATTGGTAGCAGACTTGTCTGCGAGGATAGCAGCACTGGCTCGATACATCGGTAGGCCACCGCGAGTCATTGTAAAGGCCAGATATGTATTCAATTATCTCCAAACGATGCTTAATGCAGTCGAATGCATGGTGCACCCCTCAGAAATTGATCAACGGCGAGAGCTTTAACCTTTATCCTTTTAGGAGTACTATTGTCAAAGCAGAATTCATTCGAAAAGAGTTATTAATTTCAAAACTAACCGTCAAATAATAGTTTAAAATAATTTTTTTAATCATAAAAACATAGTGAATGTTGGGATGAAAAAAGTATGTTAATAAAGCGGAAAGTTTCCTTTGATTTGTATACAAGTGAACGAAATGAATTACGGTAGAATTCCAGGATCGACTTTCTATAAATCTCGGCAAAGAAGATTACGGTAAATTTGGTTGTTAGAATCTTCACTACGGCCGATTAAAGACCTGGAGGAGACCTGTTGTATACTATTTTGCGGTACCATATAAGCTTATAGTGTAATTCGCTTAGAAAAAAATCTATAAATACATTACAAAGCCAGTCGAGTAGCGACTGAAGAAGATGTATGCTTTTGACCGCCAACTAACCTGGAAGACGTATTCGTTGGGATTGTGGGGCATGTTGAAGACAAGGTAGCACAGACGACCACAACCATCCTGAAATCAACTCGGGCTGTCGCCGAGATCATCATCAAGTTCTCGTGATCATGAATACTTACCTTCGGACAAAGCAGTTCCTTACTCTCGCGCGCATCCTCTTCAACCCAGCTTGCCTCCTTGTCCATCATTCGCAGGTAGCGAACCTGAAGCATATGTTATACATACATACATCATATCATAAAACATACATATCATAACAAAATCTACTGACGTCTAAGATAAAATCCAAAAAAAATTAGCGAGAAATCGATTTCCCGAGATATTTTTTCTTCGACGCATATATTTTTAAAATATTATAAGAAAAGACTGGTTAATGCGAAGGAGCATACAAAGAGACATAAATATTGCTGCATAAAAAGCCCTAAAAACATTTAAAAGTGATGAGATACCTATATAAATGCCAGAGTAGTATAGTGGGTCTTATTCGCTCGAAAGACTCGCTGAGGATCACATTTCGCTCCAGAATCATTGCGATGATTCTGTGAATCTGCTTGGTGGCTTTCATACTGCGTGCTTGAATGCCCATGTGATCTATTCGCGAAATTTTGGCGTCACCAATTGTCGTCAAAACCCATCAGGTGTCATGCAACAGATTTCCGATATCTTGACCTTTAGGACCGACTTTCGATAGTTAAGAGACCTTTGAACTTTGGACTCCCTTTATCATTTTCGTGATAAGGTATACCCTTCCCACAACCCACTCGAAAGCGCATTCGATAACCGTGAATGATCTGTTATCATGATAGCCTCGTAAAGTTCCTCTCCCAAAGGTACACGATAAGACGAGAATTCCGTTCGCAGAGTCAAAAATGTAGCTGTGAAACCTCAAAAATCAATCTTAAAAACGCGCCGTCGAAACAAATGACAATTTGTCTGGCCGAAGGAGTTGCTGCTATAAGACGTATATCGTCAGCAAAAATAGTGTATTTTTTGGACCGCAGCTTCATCCTTATTGACTTTCGCCTTATCTAGAGTACCGCAATGAAGTTTTGGCGATAAGTTGCCGTCTTCTTGAGCTCCCTTCATTAAGACCATGCTAACATTAGCGCAAAACGGTCAAAATTTGGTTGATAAATTGTTACACAGCTCAAGTGGGAGATGGGTACTGAATTTCTTAATCTGCTAAAAATATATGGAGTAGATTCTTATTATTTCAATGAGCCTGGCCACTGTATAGGTGTGTTCTATCGCCCTGAATTCTCTCCGAAACCCTCCTCGCTCATATATCTATTCTTGGCTAAGTGTTCTGCCAGTCCTGTTGAAGATGACATAAACAGAGAGTTTATAGACGAGAGACAACAGGCAGATTGGGCCATAGTTGCCGATGTAATGGAGATCTCCTTTTTCTTGTGACTGCACTGCTTTGTTGGTCTTCTGTTGTTTAGGAACCTTGCGTTCTGACAGCTATCGTGTGACGAACTGTGGTTGTATGTTAAGGACTCGCAGTAGGTTCTTCAGACGTTCCCATGTAATTCTACTCTTCATCGGCAATAAAGAATGTAGAACTTTGGAAGGAATGTGCGCTAAAATGACACATCCTTTCTTTCTGACCTAATATAAAGGCAGGTGGACGTAATTGTTGAAGAAATCGGATTAGAAATCGTAAGTGATCTCCTTTGCTGGATTTCTAAATATAACGCCGGCGGTGTCTTGGATAGCGATCTCTTTGTTCTTATAATTAGAGAAGTTTCGACGGAAGTTGTCAATGGTGTTCCTAACGTCAGAAGCTTCAGTCCTGACATTAACTTTGGCTTTTAATTCAAGCGTAAGTTGGTGGTTCTCTCGAGCGAAGCATTCGCGTTGAAGCAACATCTCAAGTGTTTTTCCTGGAGTCCTGATCAGTTATGCCGTTAATGGTACCCACGAGCTGAATATGTGAACAAATCCCAATTTGCACGTCCAAATCTGAAGTCCTTTAGAAGATCTCAAAAAATAAATCTGTGTCTATTTTGTGGCTACCATCTAGAAGGGCATATTCTCCCTATAAAACTTTTTCAGCTTTATGTAGGACACCTTGATTTCGTCTTCGCTGTAGCTAAAACTTGGAGCGTAAAAGACGAAGACTCAAAACCGGCATTGTCCCACATTATTTCAACCACAAATATCCGATTCGAGAATTCCGAATTTTTCAAAAATACTGGTGAGTATGTGACGTCGCCAACTGTTTTCTTGTCGCACATTCTGAGAAATAGTCCTTTCGATACCAATAACAGCGGTAAATTGGCGGCGTCTTCTTGTTTCCGTCAATCTGATGACACTGTACTTAATCGAAATACAACAATCGCGTTACTCCCCGGAAAGAACAATAGCGCATTCGTTCCCCACCATAGACACCTGCGGTCCAGAGTTTTGCAAATATCTCAGAAACGTTGTGGTTGTAGTTCGCTTAGCACCCTGCCGCGAAATTATAATAGGCAGAAAATAAAAAGGTATAACACTGTACTTAATCTTATTAGTTTACATCATCAAGTCTTCAATTAAGGATCCAGATGCCACTGTGTATTCGTTCAAGTACAAGATTTCCGCAATAGTTGTTCAATATTTAGGTGGCCGTGAATGAGACTTTAGAGATGTTTCCGCATTCGTCCTCCTCAAAACTGCAATTCTGGAAGTTGTATCGAACTGAAGGAAATGAAGCGTATTTATTTACTATTCTTGGTCATTAATTTTAATTGAAAGCTTGCACACAGTGGAGGCAATTTACCTAATTAGAAAAATTTTCTACCCCCACAAAAATTTTCCAAGATAAATGGACCAGTTAAAACCTGATATGTACACATGGGATCATTTCGTAAGGCTTAGTATTAGCCTAAGGTTTAGGGCTCACAACTCACAACTATTCACATTTCACTCGTATCAGTTTTGATTTTCGGAAACATAAAACTCTTCCCAATAAAGATGGCTTGTTTGATTTTAGAAACAAAATGTCCGAATTTTATTGGCACGCTCAGGATTTACCTGGTAGTGGGATGCCATGTCGAGCTCGACGGGTTCCCAGCTCATTGACACGGCAAAGTTCGTTTTGTCGCATTGCTTCAGATTTTTAACTAGGAACCATCCTGGTTGTAGAGTCGAATAAACTCCCCATGCAACCTGAAAGTGAAGAACAGATACTGCAGATCGGTACGGATTGCAAGAAGTGACAATGTGGCTAAAGCAGTTCATAGGCTAACAGATTCGTAGAGATGACTGAATCATTGCGAGGATGAAGAAGCAGTTGCTCCTGAGTGGCCTAAACGCGTCAAAATCATCTGTCTCACCTCTGTTTGATCTTTTGGTTTCAGCGTAACATTGTAGACCGTACTGGGATGAAGTCCCCGGATCACGAAATCCGATTCCCAGGATTCGACGTCGAACGTCTTCACCTGGTCGATGCGCACATTGCTGTAGACCGAATATAGCGAACGGGCTGTCAACTGAATTGGCGTTTGTTTGCAAAAGAAACTGCAGGATTTCCAACGAAATAAACTTCCAGTTTTCTCTTACTTCAGTGCTTAGCTCTTACTTGGCTTCACACTTACCAACAATAACCTTCTTGTTAACAAGATGTTTACTTCTAAACACACAAATGGAAAACGCTAAACAGCCATTCGACACGAAACGCTCAATAGATGCGTTTTTCGCCACCAATTCAATTGGTATGGTTTGAGTTAAAGACAATTCCTACACATTCTGCAGTCAATATTGCCAACTAACTTGTTGTAAAAATGTTATAAAAAATGTTTAAAAAGTTATGAGGTGGTCATGAAGATAGTTAAAAAATAATAGAAAAAGATGGAAAGTGGTTACTGCGTCAACTTGGCAGCCGATTCATAGATCCGGACCAACCAAGGAATCCCAGTAAATAAATTGGACGACTTAACAATACTCACAGTATATCCACTGTGACTTCGTCCCCATACAGGTTCCCATTCCACGTGTAATGTAGTTGGAGTTCTTAAAAAGAAAATTTCAAAAAATCAATGCAGATGAAGTACTACAAAACCTTGATGGACCTGTTCAGAAGCCGTATGATATGTCTTTGTCCCGGCGGCAGAGTACTGTACGTTCCCCAAAGGATATGACCGTATCCAGAACTTGTTCCTGCCTGTACTGTGATATTGTACACAGTTTCTGGATTGAGATACTCGAATTTAACTGAATTCCCTGGCACAGGCACAGTATAATTCTTCTTAGGACCCAATTCTCTGGTAATAGGATTGAATGGGGCAATTGTAACCCTGAAAATACACCGAAAAGTTCATTAAAACCGCAGCTGTTTCGAAAGTAGAGTGGCACCTGTAATGAGTAAGCAGTTCTCTTTGCTCTACGTCGAAAATCTCTGGAGGAACCCAGTCTACATGCAACATTGTGTCAGATTTCTCGATTAGATGGAGATCAGTCGGAGCCGGAAGCCAACTGAGCAGACCTTCAGCTGTAATAGGTGAAATGTATATGAAAATAAGTATTTTATTAGTAAGGCTTTCAAGACGCAGTTAATCAAGCATTATCAGAGATTTTTTAAGCATAGCAAGCATTTTAGTTAGGTAACGGCCTATTTCTTAGTTTAAAGACGTCTCCCTTTGTTTATTCACTTGCAGCAAAATAAATTCCTTAGGAGAGTTAGAAAAAGAAACGAACCGAAGTCAGTTGTTGCGAACACAGAGGAGATGAACCACAGCTTATTGTTGGTTGACAGGCCTTGCACTGTCACATTATACTGTGTAACAGAATTCAATTGCCTAAAGTAATTGGTAATGTTTGAGAATTTGAATCTCCTAAAAACACAAGGATATCATAGGAGTGCCCAAGTTTATCTTCTACACTGACCTGAAGTGGTAATCCGTTTGTGATCCGGGAATGGTGAATTCCTTCGGATGCTGATCAAGTTCACTGGCTGCGGAGATAAACAACTGAAAAGTCATTGTTCACATTTATGAAAAATGGGGGTCAAAATCGCTGCACTCATAAATGCTCTTTTCGAAAATCTGGAGGAGAAAAAAGACGACTATAAGATTGATCGAGCTGATGTAAAGGACTACATTGATTGAATTAAAAGGAGATAAGCTAACATTGGCCAGATACTGGAAAACCATCATTTCAAACGATTCAGTGAACGATGAAGTGAAGCCCTTCTCTGACTGGTAAAGCTGACCTGGTAGGTGTCTATTTTTTCCCTAATGACAGCCGGCGGTGTCCATTTGACCTTAAGGTTGTCGTGTCCAGCCGACAGCAGTCTCAGACTTCCGCCAAGTGGCTCTTTGTCGTCCTTGCGGGTGGTCGAGAAGTATTCTCCAGACCACTCACCCCACGTTCCTGACGCTGATTGACCCTGAAGAAATTCTGCTAGATCGTGAATCATATATTTTCCAATATGAAATGTCTAATTTTGCAAGATGAAGCTTAGGGGGTTTTTTGAAGAATGTAATCACTTGCTCTATTTTCTCGTTAAGCAAAGAAGTAATTATTTACTTATGGATTCTATTATACAGCGGTTTAAAATCATTTCGAAGGCCAGATAAATTTCCTTTCCATGTCGATGCTTTTGTTTTTATTTTACTAACCTTCACTCAATTCTGCTGTTGAAAAAACAAGAAAAAATAGGATAATCGAACAAGTTTTTGAATGAACTGAATGCAAAGCAAAGCGTTGTAATTTGCATTAGTCTTCTGAACGCAACAAAACTATCCCTTTTATCCACTTGCTGCAGCATCCCTTAAACTATTATACAATAATGATGTTGAGATAATTTGCAAAACTCCGTATCGCGGGTATCTGCGGCGGGGAACGAACGCGCTATTGCCCTTTACGAAGGGTTCGCTGCCGATTTGAGCTTCTCAAATCAATCCTGTTGACGGGTGACTACTGATGGCACTGATCAATAGAATTAGCAGAAACAGGCGAAACGAAGGACTCGCAAAGTGTGGTGGTGAAAGCGTGAGACCCCGGGAGCGGTAATAGCGCGTTCGTCCCCCACCGCAGATACTCGCGGTACGGAGTTTTGCAAATATTTTAGGGTCACTGTGGTTGAGTCAGACATAATAACCTGCCATGAAAAATTGTAATAGGCAGTAAATAAAAAGCTAACATGTTATAATATGAATTTCCACCGGCAACATGGTCTGAAACGGTTGGACAAAGATGGAACAATTGACTGTTCTCTTAATGAGCAAACACCAGGTCTTTACTTTATTCCTTATTTACGATAGTCTGAGGTTTCTGCTAATTTCGATTCCAAAGATGGAACAGTCAAACATTTCCTGAAAGCAGAAGTTTACATCAGAAGAAGGGTTTGATGATTTTTTAAACTTGGCGGACTGACTCATCCACTAATGTCGCCGGTATCCTGTCGATTTCGTTACTACGGAGAAATGTTCTCGAAGGGTCGATGAAGCGCACCTAAAACTGCAGCGCGGACAGTTAACCACTGGTCAACCGAAAAGAATTAACTCTGCCAGCAGGGCAGTTTAGCTTTCCTTACTCGCCGATCCCGCCAATTATCACCCACTTTTCCCATCACTCCAACAAATTTCTCTGTGAGGAAACACCCAACAATCAAGAAGCAGTCATAAATACGTTTGTAACTTTATCGGATACAAAGATCGAAACCCTTGTGTGGATGGAATGGCTAAGTCCTCAACATGTTAGAAAAAACTATTGTAGTGGTTCTTAATTTGATTAGTAAAGCTGACCTATAATAAAACCATAGAACTTTATATCCAAGTTTAGATATTTCACAGAGGACGAGATTGTTACAAATTGATGTAATTCCATGTATAGACATAGCGGTGGACCGGAAGTGCAGAAATTAAAGACGTCGCATAGTAATATACCCATGGCCGTTGGATTCCACGAAATTCCTGAAGAACATTAAAAAACCTCAAGTAGCAGCCGAACGCACATGCAAAAGTCCTTCGTGGATGACGGACGCAAGATCAGAAAATGAACGAGAGAAGTGCTCGGATCTGCACATTATGGAAAGTGGGATCGTATTGAACAATTGATAAAAGAATTTTCATTGTTCAAAAGAAAAATTCACGAATAATTTGCAGCTGCTATAGTACATTGCATTTGTTGTAAACCAGTCGGAAAAGTAAAATGCTATCATAACCACCTGCACAGCGAATCTGTAGGTTGTGGATGGCTGGAGATTGCGAATCGTTGTGCACAAGTTGGCAGTGGTGATGATGGGACTCTTATAGCCGGAGCAGGACAGCTGATCTCCAGACAACTCAACCTCTGTCGGATTCGAATCGTCGGCTCTGGAATGAAATCATCATGTGTCCGACTCAACTGTGATCACAGTGTGCGCGTCAGAATCAGTTGAAAAGTGGTTTCATTTTTAAAAAAAACATTATTCGAATCCAAAAGAATAAGTTCTCTCAAGAAATGGCCAATTTCGGAAATGCAAGGTTTATAATGTTCAAAAATGTAGACTTCCTCACCTTTCTCCTATGGTAGCACATAGAACTTGAGTTTAAAAAATCTAGTTGCTATTACTCCTTTTTTAAAAAATTTCTTAGGAATTCGGTCTTGAATTATCAAAATCCACCATTACACACCATTGTTCCTACTTCGCCAACTGTAACAGCTTTTTTGTAAGCTTCGGCCAAAACAACATACAATCATCACCTTGGGCTGTATCTCATTCGATACGCGGTAACGATGGCTTTTTCTGGGTAGGGAGAAAGCCATGTGAGTTGAATGGAAGTGCTCTTCGTTTGAACTGCTGTCAATTCCCTCGGTGGACCAAGTTCTGAGCCAGTGGTTCGAATTTCCAGCGGATCAGACCAAGGTCCAGGTCCTTCGCTGGTGTAGGCGCGTACCTGAGAACAGTTGACTGCTTATAGAAAAATTGGATAGATATGTTTATTCATAAGATGTTCCATAGTACAAGAATGAATAATGACAGCGGCAAACGTAGTGTAGTGGAACGCCACTATTTAAATTCAATAAAAACATGATGAATATCTGAGTTCCGTGTATCGAAAACGTTGAATATGACGTTTCCAGTTTTTTCAGTCCAAGAAAACGCAATTACTTGTTACAAAGATATCGGGTAAGTCTAAAAGAAGCCGCACATACTTCTGTATTGGTGAGGGGAATAATCAGGATTCGATGCACCAACTCGAATGAGACCAAGTTCCAGCCGTGTTCGTGGAATTGGATAAATATAGCTGACAGCTAAGCCACCCTACCTTCATCCTGTAGAGTGAACCTGGTTGCAGTTGATCGATGATAGTGCTGGTCCGAGGTGTGACACCCTCACGCGTTCCCTCATTCCACACATCCATTCCGACCAACTCGAACTCGTACTGCGTGATGTTACCATTTTGATGTACACATTCTGGTGCGTCCCACTTGAAACCTAAATGGGTGCAATACAAGATAAAGGATTGGGATGCGGAATCCTAAAATTTCATCCTTTTTTGGAAAGAGGAATCGCAGTTTTTTAGTTGTGGAGCTCCGAACTCTGACATTACTTCGAAAATTCTACAACGTATATTTCAACGATTTTAGCGCTGAAGTCATGACCAATGAACATTCAAAAGTGCTTGGAAATGACGAAGGAATCGGCGTGAAAGTAATAATGGATTAGGCGTGCGAAATGCTTCACACTGACCAACGCCATCCTTTAAATACAGCAGACTCAACAAGCAGTTTGTACTTCCTACACAAGTCAGAGTTGCTTTCAAATATTTTTGACGAAAGAGCTTTCTTCACAGACCACGCTGCATTCCCACATTTTACAGAAAATTGTACTCCTACCTGCTTTGTAAAGTATTTTTCCTCCCAAAAAGGACGCTGGGACTTTCATTTAACCTCAGTATAAATGACCAAAAATAAGGCTTGTGGTGCAGTAGCCGCTTTGCAACATACGTGGAATCTATCTCCGTGCCCATAGCCCACCAAGCCTTCCATCCCTCCGGAGTCAGCAAAATGGGTACCAGACTGGTCTGGGAGGATGGCAGCGCTGGCTCAATACATCGGCAGGCCACCGCGAGTCATTGTAAAGGCCAGATTTGCATTCCATGACCTCCAAACGATACTTAATGAAGTCGAATACACGGCACATCCCTCTGAGGTTGATCATCGCCGAGAGCTTTAGCTTTATAAATGATCGATGTAAATCATTTCATTAATAAGCTAATAAGAGATTGTTAGCCGAGTAGATACGTGGTAGAAACATGTATATGTTTAAACCCTCCATTCGTCCATATCGTATTACGGAACTGCCAATTTCGCTCCAAATGCTCAAGTGATGTATGAAAGCCGTCACAGTTTAAGCTTTAGATTTTTTATTTTTAGCGCCATTCCGAAATACAAATGTTGCTTATTTGTTGAACCATGTTGGTTGATTAACATAAAGTGATACGTCGGTGGGGGGTCATAGGTGATAAGAGGGTAGCAAACCAACAGCTAACATTGCAGAAGCGCAGGTGCACATAACTAAAGTGTTCAGAATAAAGCTTAGTAACCAGCAATTCCTGCAATCTCCTCGAACGATTTATCATTTCATCATGGCAAAGTGTGTTTTTTGGCATGGTACTGAGATGTACATCAAGATTTCGTTCCATCAGTAGGGTCTTCCACACGACATAACAAAGAATTTGTAGGAAAAATACAACACTTTTCTTATTACTTGTACGAATCTGAAGTGCGACGAGAACAAATGGAGTTTACTGGTACCCAATTGGGTTACTCGATGATAAGTAGTACACAGGTGACAGCTCCTTGGGAAAGTATTTCAGAACACTGGGCATTTTGCATGTAATTTTTCGCCAAAAGTCAAGATATCGTCGTCAAGGAGTCCAGACCAGGTGGAGTGCAAATGTCAAGGGACTCAAGGATAATCGTGCTTTAAGGCAAACTGTGGGATGAAATTAGCTGTGTAAAACGAATGGTAGTTCACGCTCTAACTTGATGATCAAGGTGCTCTGAATGCCCTTACCAAAGAACTTTGACCCTCTGTTTAATTCTATGAACAACCTTTACTTCAATTATGAGCTCTGGCAAGTTCCAAAGATGAATCAAAATAGTACTGGCAAATATTCAAGTCCAAGATTACATTAGGACTGCAAACTATTATAAAGATAATGTTAATCCTTTGTTTCCTGTCTACTACAATTTTTCACGGCAAGAAATGATGTGAATTACAGCCACAACGATGCTGAGATGTTTGCAAAACTTGGACCCCGAGCGAGTTCGAACCATGATTTCCCTTTTTTGGGGCTCTCGCATTACACACAGCTGCACGGAGGTCTTTGCTCTGCGATTCTCCCAGATGGTTTTCTACCTAATGCTGTCATCAATATCACTCCAATTTTTGCGAATAACTCAGCATCGTTGTGGTTATTAGAAAGATAAGTAGTAAAATTGAAAGACCTACCGAGCTCAGAGTCTTTTCTGATAGTGGACTGTAGATTTAGCGGTGGTCCTGTCGGTACGTCATTCTTCGTCTTAAATGTTCGAACCGTCTTTGGTGTCACAATCGATGAGTGTAGTGATGGAGGACGACGAGGTGTGACCGTGACCTGGAAGAGTTCAATACAAAAAGTGACTATTACCTGGAGAAGTGAATACGAACCTCATAAACGCTTCCAGCTGCAAGTCCTTCAATAGGTACTTGTTTATCTTGGATGTTGAACATAGTAATTGCATCTTGTGGCCCGGTAGCTGATTCCTTACACCCGCCCAGTTGTTTCAGACGGTAGGAGATGTCAACTCCGTAGTTCCATTTTTGATCCTAAACTTCACAATCCAAAAGTCAGTTGAAGAAAGGGATATTATATCGGGAATGGGAAATATTAAGCAACCTTGTCAGGAAGATCCCAAGTGACCAAGGCATCTCTTGGTCCTTTTGGCTCTACAGTAACGAATAATTCCCCAGGCATGGATTGCGTGGTAAGAGTAACCTTCAAAAAGATAATATAAGTCTCAATGTTTGAGTTAGACCATTAACAAATCAGCTACTTTATCGCTCCATTTACTCGTTTGGGGTTTTGCTCCGTCTTCAACAGTCTGAGTACGCATTTTTACCTCCCATCTTGTTCCAGGCATTGTCGGAATGATCAATTCATTTGGGGAATCCGCAGACACCTTTATATAAATGAGATCGTGCGGGAAAGAATAAACTTAAAAGTCGGAAAACTCAAACCGTTAATAATCCACGAGACGTCGTATTGACGTAGTCTATGACGAATTCGATGTCATCACATCGCCAGGTCTCCTTCGACGGTGGAATCCATGTGATCTAACGTAAGCAGTAATTCGTCAATTAGAAAGATTCTTTTTGTAGTACTGAATATCACGATCGGTAGCGAGTCTATTGAACTTCCTGGGTACAATTTTTACAACTCAATTCAAATGTTCTGACAACCTTCAAAAACTTCCTTTTTGGAACAAATCTTTCAATCGCTCTGAATGACTTGAATATTCAAATAATTCATATCGTTCTCCTATCACCTATTTTTCCCTACATAGGTGTTCACGTTGGCATGTAAACTTAATAATGTAAACTGCTTGTAACAAGAAAGACTCGAACGACTGTGAGTAAAAATGGCCATTTATATCACTGGGCTACTGAAGAAGTAACAAACTGAGTCCTTAGGTTTGTTTTTAAAAAAAATTTTTTTTTAGATTTGTACAAGACTGACGTACGAATATGAAGAGTGACTACCTTCAAAGTCTGGAAATCCTCGCCTTCGAGTTTGACATTACTTGGAGGCTCCTCCGGTCGTCCACAGCTCGTTGTAGCTTTCGTCTCTGGACCAGGTGCACCGCGCTTGTCATTTTTCCCCATTACCTGTAGAAATTCTGCTAATGAAACTGACTTAATGAGGCGTTTATAGAAAACAACATTGCGAGGGTGAAAAAACAGAAATGAATGGAAATATGAAATGAATATGCTAACTTTTTTCGTAATCGATGAGAGCTTAATACGACGATCCCGCTTATAATTCCGATGGAAACCTTTTTATTGATTACCAACCGTTAGGATACGTTAAGAAGAGTTCATTGTTGGTATTGTTCTTTTGGGCAGATCCCCAGTTTTATCCAACATCTCTCTTTTTGAAGCTTTACGTAGAAGAAATCCTGGTTTATTAAAGCAAAGTCGAACGAAGCAAGATAAACTATAAGAGTTCGTCAAGAAAAAGCGATGAATCAACTAACAGGAAATGGTTACAGGAAAGCAGTACTTACCTTCAGACGGAAGAAGTAAGTTGACGCGGTCTCTAGTCCTTTCACCATCACCTTGTAGTCAGTGGAACCACGACGGTGCTTAATAACGCCGTTGTATTCGGCCCACTCAAAGTCGTCCTCTGATTTAAATTCCAGTACATATCCAACTACATGGGCAGCCTGAACATATTGGATCAAGCGAAGGTTTCCACGTGTAGATGGTGTGGTTAAGCTTTACTTGATCTTGAGGTACTCCTTCGAACCGAAGAGTAATCGATTCGGGTTTCGTGTCTACTACTTCAAGTTCGCGCTCTAGTACCGGAATATCTGAGAAGTAGCCAAATTATCAAATTTGTGAGAAGAAAGCGGTAACAGAAAATTACTCTGCTGCTCGGTTCTTGCATTAAGCGTCTCGGACCATTCCGACCAAGCTCCATTTTCAGTATGGGCAGCTATCTGGAAGAAAACAACAGCTCTTGAATAACAAAATTCACTCCAATTCGCAGTATGCGCAGTATACACACAAGTTTTTAATGCTGTTGTTCAATTTCGCCGAGTAGAAATTCCATTCTCAGCTAAAATGCGATACCTGTATTTCGTAGTCCTGCTCAGGATCCAAGTTGTGCACACGGAAACAAAGGCGTTCCCGTTTGGAAGAGTCTGAGCACTCTAGACGTTCTGCCTCCACTCTCACTTCTTTATAGTTCAACTAAAAGAACTTAGAGTCTAGCTCCAAGCTCAAGTACTTCACAAAAAAGTAGGAGATATTGTGCGAAATTGCTTTTAGTCACTTCCATCTTCGTTTTTCTTTTGAAATAGGAAGCAAAATAGGCATTTCAATTAAGCAATTAATGGAAAATGTCAAAATATTGTACCTGCCCAGCAGGAGTATGACGTATACGATAGTAATCAACGTTCCCATGGGGAGGACTAGGAGCAGCAAAGGAGATTTCGACAGCATGTGGAAATGCACCCTCTTCTTGAAGGTCCGACGGAGCGGGTGGGGCTGCAGGATGAGTGGTGAAACGAGACCATTCGGAGAATGGACCTTCACCAACGCCATTTATGGCTTGGACACGAATTCTAAACGAGGAACGTGCGAATTCAAAAGTATTACATGCTGTTTTCGGCCCAGAAATGAAGAAGACTATGAGCTAGATGAGATAAGTCCTAAATGATTTGAAAATTTTGTGAATAAAATTGGTTGAATAAAGCGACTGCTGATAAAGTGCGAGGAATTCAACACCTGTATTCATTGTAGGGCACGAGATCGTTGAGTGTGAGCCGCTCGCTAGATTGGTGAGAAGTCAAGTTCTCTCCCCATGGATCTAGACTTTCCAACTCATATTGGTAACCAGTAATCTTTCCATTCCGTAATTCGCAATTCGGTTGCGACCAGGTGACGTCAGCTCGCGTTGAAGTAACCGATCCAACCCTAAATAAAGAACTAAGGTTCCTACAGCGATTAAACTAAAATTTGAAGTGCTGTTGCTAAACCAGAAAAACGATACGGCTTCGCCCATAGCTGCGCTTGAGGCGAATACAATTCAACCTTTTTTTCAATGAGCTCACCGAACATTGGTAGGCGGGCCGGTTGGAGGTGCTTCCTCTGTGGTGACGGTGACTACCTTCGACTGCGGTCCAGATAGTGAAGTGTGGGCAATCACATGCACCTCATAGGTAGAATCGGGTAAGAGACCATCCAAAACCTAGAAACTTCAGTGTGTGAACGTACTTATAGAACACATTCCATGAAGGAATTTGCCAACTTCCTTATTATTCCACACCTGATTCTCGCTTCGCACATGCTTTTGGATAGGAGTCGAGCTTCTTGGACCACATTCACCAATTGACTTAAGGTTGTAGACAAGAGTATAACCGGTTATGACACCGTTTGCATCAGTTGGCGGTCTCCATGTAAGATCGATAGACGTTGGACCAGTTGGAGTACCGGTTAAGTCTGTCACTTGCCCAGGAGCACCTGCGATAACTTAAGTGCAGACCGGTGTCAAGTTTAAATCAAGCCAAAAGAGCACACCTTCAGCAGTAGTGAGTTCAAGTTCGTTACTCCAGCGAGACGCTCCGGCGTCATTTTCTGTTCGCATGCGTACCTGCCACCTAGTGTTCGGCGAAGAATCAAAGATATGTTCTATAGAAGAACTGAAATAGAGAAGTTTAAAGGTCTGTAATTTCCCCGATAAAGCTACAAAATTTCTAAAAGAACTCTTTAGTTACCTTGGTAAACCGATCTGCGCACGAGGTCGCGTTCCATTGATGTACTCGAGTTTATAGCGAATATTGGAGCACAACCATGAACTTTTCACAGGAGCCTGCCAGCTCACTCTCACCTAAAATGCAAGTGTAAGCGAAATCTCCAATATCTCATGTGAACTGGCAAATTTCAGGTTCCTGACGTTACAGGAACATGAAATCGCAAAGCGCAAATATCGATTTCGTCACAGCGATCTAATCCATGTGCATATTCAGCGTTGTATTTCAGAAGTTACGATTGAAGTATTGCCAGTTAACACCACCTGCACGTTAGACGGTGATGCCAGGTTGACGTTCGATGGCGGAGCAGTAGGTGGAGCGCAGCCGGTTCGGCCTTGTGTCTCTGGAGAAGCACCGCCTACACGCTGTTTGTCGTCCACCACCTGGAAGATCATCAGGACGAATCGCAATCAAGAGGACACGACTTAAGAAAATTATAATGCATAAATTCTTTAGCACGGAAAAATCAGAAAAAGCCTCCTTTTCATGTTTCATCCAATGAAAATGTGATTTCGACTACTTCGAAGTTTTTCTCATCTCGTGTTTCAATTTTTAATTGGTAGATTTTAAGTTTCAAACTGGTGAAAGCAAAAGAACTTCTCGGTTTCACGAAGACCCGAGTCTAGTTCTTCCTCATTTTCGCTGACGACCTTAGTTTCATAAAGCGTTTAGGACAGGCTCACCTTAATACGCACGAAGTAGAGAGTATCGGCATCGAGACCGGTTAGCTTTTTCAGATAGGTCCTTCTCACTGGATCATGGGGAATCACGCCTCCTATCTCTTGCCATACGGGCGTATCCGAGTTTCTGAACTGTTATGATTGGCCATGAGCCATCATTTTGTATTGCAACAAATAAAATGAAATGGGGATCCGACGAAAAACACTTCTTTTCGACAAAATTCCACCTATTATATAAATGTATTGATATGTATGTATGTATGTATGTATGTATGTATGTATGTATGTATATATGTATGTATGTATGTATGTATGTATGTATGTATGTATGTATGTATGTATGTATGTATGTATGTATGTATGTATGTATGTATATATGTATGTATGTATGTATGTATGTATGTATGTATGTATGTATGTATGTATGTATGTATGTATGTATGTATGTATGTATGTATGTATATATATATGTGTGTATGTATGTATGTATGTATGTATGTATGTAATGTGTGTACGTATGTATGTGTGTGTCGCATGTGTAAATGTTTATGTGTGTATGTGTGTATGTGTGATGTGCGTGTGCTTGTGTATGTGTGCGTATGTTGAAAATTTGAAAATGCTCGTAACCGACCTGATTTCAATTATGTACCCTCTCACTCTGTTCTGTGAATCGGCCACTGCTGTCCACTGAATGTCCAGTGCTGAAGCACCGTCAGGAGTTACCTAAAACTCCCTTTAGAAACCAATCTACTGATCTAAGCAATTCAGCTCTGACCAAACACTAAAAGCTTTTCTAATTGACCATCTAGGAAGAGACCAAAAGATGCATTTTTCTGAGGTACATCCAATTCATAAAAAACATTTGAAATATTTTATTAATAATAATCACTATGGACTACTAAGTAAAATACTGTTAAACTCGAACACGTCATGTTTTTCCTTTTAAGATAGGAATAATAATCCACCAAAAAGCTTACTGATAGCAAAAACAGAGAAAAGAACGAACCACAGGCGCGGCGACAACGACGGGGATTACGAATGGGTCTGTCGAATAGCGGGTCCAAATCTCTCGGCCGAAACCCTGCTTCGATCCGGCTGCGATCGACACGTTGTAAGACGTTTCTGGCTTCAGATTCTCAAATAAGTGCGTAAGTGTGGGATGGTCGACCAGATTCGATTTACGCTGAAAATAAAGTCATTCGGTTAGTCACGATCATTTTTACAATACTGAACACAACCAGAGAAAGATCAAAAGGGTGTCGAGATTTCCAGCGAGTTCTAAAATAAAATGAAGTCACAAAACTAAAGTAAGAAGTGAGTAAGCAGACTGCTTTAGTTGCACGTAAAATCCATCATATTCTCATTTCAACTTCCAGCATATTACGAAAGCTAGAATGCATAGAATTGAGCAGAACAATCTGTCAAGAATGATGGGAATGATGATAAAAAAGAAATTCTGTCTACCTAAGAACACCGTTTTGTACCTCCCTTAGAAGTCTAGTAACTATTCACTAGCCCCAGAATATGAGAGAATTGGTTAGCCTATTATTGATGGGTTCTAAACGTTAGTATACGTGAATGTAAAAAAAGAAAAATGTCCTAAGTTCAAGAGAACTAAAATAACTAATAGAATGTAAGCCACCATGTAATCAGAGCCTGAGTCATTGATAGAAGCTACGATTTAATTGCTAATCGTGACTAGTGGATGTACTTCTAGAAATGCGCTCTAAAGGAGAAGATATACAATGTCCACTTTTTATTTACTCATTATTATTTTCCGCGCCAAGGTATGATGTGAAATACAGCCACTATGATGCTGAGATCTTTGTAAAATCTAATCGCGTTTCGATCTTGTCTATCGAAGTATCGAAGATCGAAGTTTTACAAATATCTCAACGTCATAGTGCAGAAGATATATTTAAGCCTCAATGAGATGCGCTAGGAATAGAGCTCTACCTCGTCGTTGGGGTCATCCAGTGAAACGATGGACACTCGATATTGAGTTATATGACCTTTTGTGTCAACTGGTGGAACCCATTCGATGTGAAGTGAGTGGTCAGTCTTATCGATCAAATAGATAGCCCGTGGAGCATCCGGAAGAATTTGTAGCGTATTGGCTATCACCACTGATGACCATGGTCCATAGTTTCCTAATAAGAAGTGAACAATTATTCAGAAAATTCACTGGATCAGATAATAATCCATAATTCCATGGATGTTGGCCAAAAATTCTCTTCGTTCTCGGTAACACCAGAACTCTACGCTATGAAAGTTGAATGTTCTAATGTCAAATATTGGAAGAAAATACCTCCTTCAATATGGGTAGCCACTTGCACTTTGTATTGGTTTCCTGGCTCAAGTCCGGTGACATTAAAGCAGAATCTAAAACGACTGTTATAATTCTAAAGTTAAAAGGATCTCCAGTGGTAGCTACGGCATAAAACCAATCATGATTAAGATGTTACTAGTTTAGTAACTGTGTCATGTCATACACTATGAAAGCATTATGTTCACTTTAATGCTCTTTTTATTTTTTCTTCGTTATTTCCAAACAATCTCGGTGCCTTTTATGTCGACGTCGTTAAGATTTAATGTCTCTATTGGCTACAGTATTACTTTAGTCGATATATGTCATCATGAAATGAACACTTTGGTAAGTACCTAGTTCCACGAATAAGCGAATGAATAAAAACAGAATCAGAAGGACGGCTAAATAGGTTTCACCGTGGACTTTCCGATGGACACAGAAGTTCCTTATCCTTAATGCCATGTTGCTTCTCAATCCATCTCTCCGTTCCTAATAGCTGATAACGAATTTTATAGGCATCGTGAGGACCATACGGCGGATACGGTGGCAACCAGGACACCGAAAATTTTCCATAATTAGTATCAATTCTTATCAAGCTTTCATAAGCTCGGAGTGCAGCTGCAACTGCATTATACAGCAACGTTACGTCCTATCATATTAGTTTCATTAATACTATTCTTTCATTTTTTCAAAACACAAAATGCATCAAACCATGAAGAAATCTGTGCTCTCCTGAGCAACGACCAGATCCTGTGGCGGGAGCGGAGCGCTGGCTTTAGCTGTCATCGCGTCCAGATTTTCGGTGTTCGGACCTTATGTGTACTACATTTTCATGGAAGAAGATGAAATCTGCTTTTTTTATTTAATTCACCTCCTCCGATGCTATTATAGGCTCGAACACGCATCACATATTTGGTGAACGGCGTCAGTCCATCAATGGTGATCCTCGTCTCGGATGTGTTAGCAATTTGACGCTCCAGTTTCGCCCAATCGTCCTGAAATCAACAATAATCGGCTTTTCGTCCATAAAGTCAGTAGTTCCCTACGGTAGAGCATATCTGACGAGATAGTAGTTTTCCTTTCTTTTCTCTCTTTGGATGCATTTCCCTTCTAGCCGAGAGAATGACTTCACCATGACGATGGATGGTAGGGCAAAAAAACTGTATTTCTCAGGCAGTGGGCCGATTATGAGAGTTAACACGTATTTAATATATGTTTTAATGGTGTGATGCTTTCCATGTGTAACTGCAGTATTCAACTCATTGCGAAATGTAATAATCTTCTTTAGTTTCTATCAAAAAACCTGTTATCAAAGAGTAAGTTGGATTAGTTTTCCGAACTTGCTCTCTATTAGCACGAAATTGTGTAAATGACTACGGTATTCGATGAGGAGTCACATACCTGTCCGAGAATCTCGTACTCATAGTTGACGATATGGCCGTGGCGTTGAGAACAATCGACTGGTTCCCATTGAAACGACAGCGAGCGCTCGAGCGCGTAGGTGAGCTCTAGATTCAGCGGCGGGGATGAGGGTGGTTGTTGCTCGGTCGACACCTCCTTCGTTTCCTCAGGACCCAGCTCTGTTGTCCGGGCTCGCACTTTCACCGAAAACCGCAAAGTTCTGGCAGCGTAAAATAGATCAACAGAAGATGGAAAGCTTAAATACAAATTTCATTAGAGAGCATCACTTGCAACAGCAAAAACTTGTTGCCTGCGTTCCGACAGGCTATCGTTTACGATCTGTTTTAACTCTCCTACCTAGATATGCACTGATCGCTGATTACTACAACTAATGTTGAAAATGTGTGACTCACTGCATACAGTGAGTACGGTAGAAGCCCGGTAATGGTGTAGTCTAGATCCTTATGGTTGTAGACGGTGACAAAATCGCGTGACACATCACGTGGCTCTTCTTCGGGGCAAGCAAGTCGATGCCTCAGCCTAAAGGCAAACTTCTAGAGTAGAACTTGGAGTAGACGACGAAACAACTTGCCTGTAGCTGATATCGTAGCCGACTATGGTGCCTCTTTGAACTAAAGGCGCTAACCACTGCACATGAACTTCGTTCGGTGACAGCGCTTTAACTCTCAGATCTCTAACGGCTCCTGGAGCACCTTGGCGTGTTGTTACTGTTTGTTCGGCTGACCATCGACTGGAAAAAGTGTTTTACAGTTAACCAATCCCGATTCTCTATTGTTTTTGAGTCAATTTGATAATGATATTAAGAAATACTGGAAGAAATTGGAAGATTGCAAAATTCTGTAATTCCTAGAGACCTCAACGCAAGTTTACTAAATGCACGCATATAAAATTGTTGTTTTGCTTCTATTTTCTGTCTTTTAAACCGACCGTAATTTATCCTCGATGGTCCGAGTCGACGGTCCACAGTTGTTCGTCTAAGATGTCGGAGACGACGGACGACTGTGAGCCTTCGACTCGGATGCTCGACTCTGATAAAGACGAAGACGTCGAGTCGAAGCGCTAGCCGAATAAAACAATATTTGCTATTTTCGAAACCACGCTCATTTTTCTCTCGATTCACATAAAGAATACCATTTTCTTACTTTTTGCTCTCTGAGAGAGATAAAATCAGGGGTGGAAGTAGAATGTGTTAAGCTACCTGGATCCAACTTGATTTGTGGCTCTAAGTCTAACCACCCAGCGTTGATTAGGTTCAGCTGGCAATGTGTACTCCGTTTGATCGCCAGGTACAGGAAGAATCTGTTGAATCAAGTAGAAATTCAAATGAGTAAAGATAGAATCATTGTAGCATTGCGGTAAGGCCTACCTTCTCTGGCTCATTTCCAACGCGATAGCTAATCTCGACGTTCATCTGGTCGCACATCCAGGTGTCCTTCGAAGGACGAGCCCATGAGATGCGAACGTTATTAGTCGACGGTGCATCAACGCGGATTCCCTGGATTATTTATTGTTCTACTTACATCATAGTCACAATTTTCTTAAGTTTATTTCATGTAAAATCAACCAAATGTATTTGACTGCTTAAAGTATTTAAAAAGTTGCTTTTAAAACCAATTTTGGAATCGCTATAAGATTTTCGGTGGTTAAAATTGTCTTTGAGTAGAGAATGTGCTGTCGACCACTGGATGTACTTCTAATTGTTTGCTACTGAGATTTCCGTACAGATGGGTTACTCACCTGTGGAGGATTGGATGGTGGACTGCACTTCGTGCGAGCTCGTACTTCTGGTGATGGACTGGATTCTTCATTTTGACGAGATATGACTCTTACTCTGAGGTCAACGACGCTGTTGGTTGGAAGCCCGTCAACTGTTGCCGTGTACGTCGTCTGTGTTGGATGCGCTGGAATGCGACGAGGCCACTGCTGCCATGCACCACCTTCTAATCTAAAGAGAGAAGTTTAATTACTGTTTTCCTGTTAGTTCTTATTTCGTTGTATTTATTTATCCGTACACTCAAATGAAAGTACAAATCAATCTGATTTCACAGAGAAATTATGGGCAGGGACAGGAACATCCAGAAAAACGCCTAATTTTTTTCTAGGCAATGTAGGAGTCACATATGCCGCACTCAGCATAAACAACTTTTTACCATGCTCCCAGAATATTTCTATCTCTTCTATTTTTTAAAACAGCCCGTAATCATTCTCATACAGTATTGCAGGCGTTTGTCGGTCGGTTTCGAAGCATGTTAGGAGCATACTTCAGTTTCTTAAAATATTCACATCCATACGAAAACCGTAGTAAATTAAAAGGTAAGATCAATCAAATGCTAGTAAAAGATTGGATTTTATGTGCATAGATCACATCGGTGGAGGACAAATTTACGATGGAACTCTCAGTGAGAGCCAACAAGAGGAAGAAGCTGAAGATGATGAGGACCGTGAGAAATTTTGGTGACAACCACTGGGAAACCGAAGGAAGATAAATCGGATAATGAGGATGAAGTTGATGATGAAGAGTGATCACTCAATAAAATGGCACTTCAAGATTCCTGTATGTTCGATGGTAGTCAATCCAGAATGGAAATTCACCGACACAGCAAGTTACAAGATATTATTTCCAAGGACGAAAAACTCTTCATGGACACAAGCGAACATTTCCCATCCCATGCCGTTCTTTGCTTGTGAGAAAAAGTATCAATTGGTACTTACATTTCCCTACTATAATATATGCTTCTCCTTCTCATAATTTTGGTACACTCGGCTTTTTTTCCACACAGTCACTCAGAATTATTTGATGAAGTCATGCAGGATCATGTGGCAACGCGTAGGAAATCGCGGTTAACGAATTCAAGGCCAAAGTCTGTTCTATTTTGATTCAGATAGACAGAGTGCAAGTGCCTAGAACTCAACTAGATATATTCTGAGAAGCAGCGGTTAAGGCTAAGGAGGCGGAGACGATTAAATAAAGATATATTGACCGTAGCAAGATCATGAGGTCTTACTGCCACTTCCCAATTGTTTACCGCATTCATCCACTTGGTAGGGTAGTCCATGCTGAGAAGGAGTCTGGCGTTTCCATCACGAAACCTAGCTGAGAATAAACCAATACCAGGTTCCACCACCCTGTACTGGTATCATAGGCGCATGGTGGCAAATCTCCCTCTGATCCACAACGGCTGCGACTGCCTGTGGTAGCGAAGACCTGGGGCAAACTTTAGTCAGGCTGACCTCGGGATTTCAGGGAACTACAATGGCTCAACCAGTAAATCTCCGAAAAATGGTGATTGTGCTGGGGCCCGTACAACCAGTGAAGACGGGGCGTTCAAGTATCAAGTATTACCTACTCCATATCTGCTGCCACAAATAGCAGGCAGGTCAGCACTAGATGAATCTAATGCAACAAGTGTTTCTGTTAAGATTGTTTCGCTAACGTTCAAAAATTCTAAGTCGTAATGGGTAGAGACTGTGAAGATTGTGAATTACACGTGGAAGACGTAAAGTTCAAGTGTTGAAACAGTACATCCTAGAATAACATTCAAAAATTCAGTGGAACGTTGAGAAGAAAAGTCCAGAAAGTTCAGCTAATGATTTCAAGCACACAACCCGTTGAAGACACAAGAACACATTACTGAACACGCACACTGTAAACAATTGGTTCTTCCGTTATTAATATTTTTATTTAAGAAAGTATTAACGTTACAACTACATTCCTACATACCCATTTAGTGGTTTATCACCTCGTTGTGGTCGAGGAGATGTTTATATATGCCAAACATGGATAAACAGTTAACCCAGTGATGTTTTGTTACTCTTTCAACACTGATCACGTTTTTATAGAAATCCGTGAGAGTTATGAAGAACAAACTCGTCCTAATAACAGTCCCCTATAAACTGTTATGTGTGAAAGATCGCTCCTCTCAGACAACTTTAGGTGTAATATAACTGAAATAGAACATAGATTTAAATCAAACAAAGATCGCAGAAAAGAATCTGCTGAAGAAAATAAGAGGGAAAGGAAACGAATCATATATAAGTGCGTAAACAATTGGCTATCAGAACTGAACTCAAATTTTAGCCTTGGTTACAAAAAGCGACGCTCTACGAGAACGAACCTGTACTCAACGATAAAACCGCCCGCTTCTCGGTTTCTGCTTTCCCAGCCGACTGTCACTGATGTGGCTTCCTCAGCGATTACTCGCGGAGCGATTGCTAGTGCCGTCAGTGGAGCGGCATCCGTCCACATCGTCACCGTTGTTCCCTGGAACAAATCGATGCTATGGAAGAATGATTTCAACCTGACAGAGTGCAACGTACCCCACAGAGTTCATTGTTAATAGCTGCTTCAACGGTAACGTTGTACTGAGTACGAGGTCGAAGATTGTCGATTCTTAACGATAACACTCCATTTTCAGTCACAGATCCATGTTTATTTCAAAACATGACTTCTTCATGTCGTTCAAGAGTTATCACACTAATCGAATCAACATTCATTATCTTAAAAAACTACGAACACGTCATAGACATACCTATACTGATAAGTGTTACGATCAACGTTGAAAGTCTGAGGTCGAGATGAGCGGTCGACAGGCTCAAGGTGAAGACGAAACGAGGTTATTCGACTACGGTCGTCTGGACGAACAGCCCATGACACCACTAGCGAACTTTCGCTGCCGCCAATCTGAAATCGCTTAAAGTATTGGCGTTCTCACAATTGTAACATAGCAATCATTTTAGCCCTTCCGAGAACTTGAAAATCGTAATACAAAAAACTTCAACAAGCCACTTTAAGACACCTTGTCAATACTGAGTATTTGTACCGGCTCGTTGGTGACTTTAGATCGTTCCGGCTGTGACCACGGTGACCAACCAGCGTTTTGTACGTGTGCCGCAACCTGTACAGGTAAATTTATTGACGCTTGTATCCTTAAAATGAACGCGATACTACCTGGAAGTCATATGTCTGTTCTGGCTGCAGGTTATCTATTCGTCCACAGTGTAACCTCGACCCTGGTGGTGGAGTTGGCAGCTGTTGGCGCTCTAGAATCCTCGGTTGACATGGGCTAACTGCCGGAAACTGTCGTTCCTATACATTCAGAGATCTATTCTTCGCTTATTTCCAACAATCGGGAGAATAAGCATAAGATAAATAGCTGCTTTATACATTACTCTAACCTGGTATTTCCCAGTTCCTGCAGCTGCGTAGCGGCACTTATATTTGTCGATGTAGCCACTCTCAGGATATGGGGATTGCCAGACCAAATGAGCGTTATCAGTACCAGTGCTGACGACTCTCACGAATGGTGGAGCCTCAAAAGCATAGCCTTTCTTTTAGAAGAAGTTGCTCATGGATGGTTTCAAAAAAACTTCTACCGTAACAGTTTTTGCTGCTGCCGTCTGAAATGGAACTTCAGTAGACCACGGACCAGGGCCTCGACTAGTGTAGGCTCGAACCTTGAATAAACTAGCTCTTATCTCAAAATGATGTACGTGAGCATTGGTTATAGTGTTTCTGAACTTGGACAAAGAAGAGTATTCCAAAACCTGGAGCTGGAATATATGAAACGTAAATCAGCATAATTTTGCTTAGACGGCTGTAGCTGCTTTCTTCACGTGTACCGTCTTAAACAAACACTATTCCACGCAAATGTTTTGTCAATTGTACCACTTCCCGCCTTCGTTACCAATAATCGTTATAAGTCAATGAAGCAAATGTTTTTATCAGAAAACTAGAACTCCTGTTCATTAGTAAAATTCTCTGTGTGTAAGAAGGCCAATTTGATTTCACCTGGGGTATTGGCCGATAAATTAAAACTTTTAGCGATTCCATAGGATTTGCTAAATCACTGCATCCAGAGCAGGCACAATGCATACCTTGACATTGTACCGAGTGAACGGCTCGAGATTAGTGACATGGGTTCTGGTGCCACGAACATTGTTGGCGATTCGCTGCGGAGCGGCTCGACGATCAGCCGACGTCACTTCGTACTCATACTCAGTTATCTCACCATTAGTCTGCAAATATGACTATTAAATAGTTTTCGAAACAAAAAACTTCTGCAAGCCCATTTATTACAAGTGAAGCTATTTCAGACGAAGTAAGACCCCTGACACTAACTTTATTTTTAGAATAACTATATAAAACGCTTTTACCTCCACAGAAACGACTTCGTACTTGAAAATCGTGAAAATACCTAAATTACAATAATGAACAAGGGAAACTAAAACCTGCAAACAAGGTGGCGCTTGCCAGCTGATGCTGGCGTCGTTTTCTGTAGCCTCTTCGACTCGGAGATACGTTGGAGGTGCGGAGGGAACCGACTGCTCGGTCTGGACCTCCTGCGAGATGCGTTCGCCTGCGATTGTTGTCCTTGCCGCAACTCCTACTCTGAACAGCAGAAATATACAGTAAGGTAACCATGGTGAATGACGGACTATGGCGCGATTCACCATCGATGTACCTGTAGCGAGAGTGTGGATGCAATCCAGTGATGACATGATGTGGCGACGTCGTTGATATCGTAAGAGGTACATCCTGTTGTTGGTCGCACATTCCTCTATAATTCAGCCATAATGAAGACTTCATCTCAGTTTTCACAGTCATTTTTTCTGAGTTCCCTTTCTTATAACTGAAAAGTTCAAATAATTTTGAATAATAATCCTAGTTCTGAGAAATTCTTTGGAAATCTGGCTGGGAAGTGACCATCTGTCGGGAAACGGTCTTAGGCGCTCAGGAAAACAATGACAAATTGTAAGCCCTTAGGATTGAATTGATACTGCTCCCACTGATACATTGATAAATACTTGGCAAAACTGCTAACCACGGATGGATTCGAGCAGTTCATATTTTTTTGGGATAAAGAGTAAGAGGAGAAAGGATAAAGCATTCGACGTTGATCAATATTTGAAGAATGTGCCATGCTTTCAACTCCATAAAGCATCTTAGATGTGACCAAATGCATATCTGGCCTATATGATTATTTGCGGTGGCTATAAATGTACCAAGTCAGTGTCATCCTTCTAGACACATCTGGTTCCAAATTTTCGACGCCGGAGAGATGGATAGCTTAGTCTGCCCGAGGCAGGGAACATACGAAGGCAGGGAACATACGTATGCATTATAGGGCATCTCTAAACACTGCGCTGAACGAGCCCTCATGACTAGAATAAAGGTTGGAAAATTCTCAGAAACTGTGAAATTTCTTAGTTCAACTATTCCTTCCATGAAAATTTGTTGGTCTCTTAAATACTGCCAGGAAACTCAGTATTGGAACGTCTTTGACTAAATAACTCACTTGCTGATCAGCTGATAGGTAACCTCGTACTGAGTAATGAGCCCATTAGGATTCAATGGAGGCCTCCAACTGACTTGTAACCGGTCAGGACCAACTGGTTGCACTCGGAAATCTACCACGGGACCAGGCGACGCATCCTGGTGGTACCATCATTGAAATTATGTAGAAATTAAGCAGTGGAATGCGTAGGTATTAACATACCTGAGTTTGTGCGGTCTCAGTCCTCGACCATTGCGTCTCTCCTGCAGGATTTGCTGCTTGTACTTCAAAATTCCACCTGGAGAGGGAATCTAGCTTCACAACAAGTGTACTCGAATTTATGTTGTATGTAGTTAAAAATCTGCTCAACTAATCAAAAATTTTATCAACAAATCTTCCCCTTAAACACTTTTCTTGTCGAGCTCGAATCGAACCATTTCGCTGGTTGTTAAAAAACACGTATTATGTTTCGTGTCCTTGTAGAATCAGCCTACGATAATCGGCTGATGAAATAATTTAACTCGTTCTCTTTATTTACGCGGTTTGATTTGATGTGAGATACAACCGGTTGTAAAACCAACTCACTTCGTATACGGGTCGGACTCGAACACAACCGAATTCTCGCCTTGCGTAAGATTCTTGAAACCCTGGTTTTTCGGTGTACTGTATTTAACGATGTACCATATTCGATCACAATTCCATTCAGACTCATGAAGTGGCGCCCACGTGAGTCGAATTTGGGTGGGCCCGATAGGAGAGACCTGCAGCAGAGTAATACTAAAATCCATTGCCTCGTTTTAATTCAGATTCGCTATTAATTGCAGAAGCAATGGATTCTACACATTTACGTTCAAACTTCTCTCTGACTGGAACAGTAAGCTACGTTGCATTGGCTGCCTAGCCTGAAGACTCTAAGTAGGATCGAAACAAAAAACGAGCCTGTAGATTGGATGGCGCTCGTCTCGGTGGCTGACAAGCCGACTGCGTCTGCACTTGAACGATTGGTGATGTGAAAGCAGTACCACGGTTATGATCTTTCACGATCACACGCACCTTCAACAAGGAGATTTATCTAGAAACTCAACTGATGTGGAATGTTTCACCGTCTTGTCACTGTACGGAGTGCATTAAGGAGTACCTGATAGGTTTGACCCTTGGGAAGTTCGCCCAGGTCAATTGAGTATGGACGTTGCGATCCCGAGTACGGAATCTAAATAACATGTTGAATACTTGCTTGGCAAGTTAATAAGAGAATATAGAATACATCGAAAATGACTAGGTGAGATGGTAAACTACACTACGAAGTTCTCCCTGGTTTCAATGAAACAAAACCTCCACTTTCGCTTCTAAGAAAAGTTAAAGCGCATTTAACTGCCCATCCAAATAGGTTTCATTAAGATTATCCACTAAAAGCCCATCGACTGGTCATTTACCGGCTTACTATGCTGCCGCCAATCCCATTCCGTGGAAGCTTTCCACTGAACAATGAAATTGTCAATAAGACCATCGACGTTCTCCCTCGATTGCCACGTGATGATTGGGTTTCCTTGTCTAATAAAAACCATTGATTAAGCAAATAATATTTTGGTAACATAGTAGAGCTAAAAGACATGTACAATCGTAAACACACCTATAGGCAACGTTTGGCCCGACGATCAGCTCACCACCTGGCGACGTCCGTACTTCTGCTGGCGCGGTCCATGCCGAATGCCCCGCCATGTTCTTTGCGCGCATTCGAATTGACCTTAGGAAGAAAGATTACCGCCTAAACTTAAATGTAATATTATCTGCACGAAAGCGTAACATCTGAGAAAGAGGCAAGGATCCGGGTTTGACAGAAAGTGAGGTAGTTCATCATCAAATACCTTTCAGTAGTCAATTAACTCAAAGAACTGAACACCATCGCAAGTGACATAAGCGTGCTACTCACCATTGCTGGTTTGGCTGACTGGTGAATATGTGGCTGGTCTGAGTACCAGCTACAGTAACTGGCTGAACACCTCTCGGCTCATCCACCTATTATAGAATCATTGGACTTTAGTTTATTCTCAGCGCGGTGAGGAGTTCGAAACAAATACGACCTCACCTGGATTTCAAATTCTATGTCAGCGCATCCCCAAGTACTTTGAGGTGGAACTGCCCAGTGTACCCGCACATGGGAAGCATCAGGAGCCTGCACTTGGACATGTGAGGGAGGATGAGATGGTGCTAAACGACCATACTAACACGAAATCATAAGAAACCTCCTAGAGAAGAGGCATTATTGGACTTAGGAAAACACGATTGATGAGTTAGTTTTGAAATTGGACCAAGATGCCTTATTTTCACCATGTCTGTAATATGAGTAGACTAGATCTAAAAAAGTAGCCAGGCCCTCTAGAACTCAATTGGAAGAGTTTGAAAGGTTGAACGAATAGTTACTCACTTGATACTTGAACGGCCCATCGTCACTAGTTATGCGGGCTCCAACATAAACCATTTTTTGGAGATTTGCTGGTGAAGCTATTGTGGTTCTCTGGAAACACGAGGACAACCTGGCCAAAGTCTGCCCCAGGTCGTCACCACTACAGGCAGTCGCAGCCCTTGTGGATCAGAGAGAGATTTACCACCATGCGACTTCGATACCAAGACGACAGTGGATTCTGGTATTGGTTTATTCTTAGCTAGGCTTTCTGATAGAAGTGCCGGATTCCTTCTCAGTTTGGGAAACCCTACCGGAAAAACGAATTTCCCCGCTGTACGTCGCAGTCCGACACCCAAGAACACCTCTCAGCCACGATGAGGCAGGAAACCGTTGCGAGGGATGAATACCGTTTGAAAAAATACAAGCTGCCACAGTCAAGAAACAACTAGCCGGCAGTACAACGCTAGTATAGTTCATGTTTAGTCAAGCCAGGTATTACCAAGTATAGTCTGACATAGAAAAAAATAAACTCTTTTTCAATTGAGGAAAGTTATTCAGCGTTTCACGAACACTTGAACAGACCTGTACAGCTGCTTCTGGCCGATGCCTCAGGACTCACATACATGACGTACGAATTCCTATCCAAAACCTAAAAAGTCCAGCGTGAGTAATCTAAGCAAATTTCTAAAGGCCATAAAATTTCAGTGTTGATAAAGTCACCGCTAATTGATCTGTCTGAGGCGTTTAACCTGCTACACCATTATCTCGAATCCTTAATAAGGATTAACTCAAACACTACCTGAATATGAACAGAGTAAGTATGTCCTTGTTGAAGTCCTGTGAGTGTCTGTGAATAATATTGATTGTCACCCACATATGGTACAATTTGTCTGAATAGTAAAGATCATGACGATGAGTATGTCAATGAGTCGTAAACATTGTTCACCCGTAAGGATTCCATCCTGAACTCTCGGTTCGGAACTGGACCCGGTACCCAAACACACCACGTCCGTCGCCTTCGCTTTTCCACTCGACAAGGAGGTCATTTCCGCGAGCAGTGACCCTTGGTGTGGACACCAAAGCTGAACGGATTAATCTCGAATTTAACAGACAGATGACATGAAGTCAATACGTGGGTTAGTTAGTAGAACTGCATTCTAAAGGTTTGTTATGGAAATGAGTTACGGAGTCTAAGAGAAGCTATGACGGTAATATAGCGAAGACGGGGTATAGGTAAAAGAAACCGAGAGAGAGGGAGAAGATACAACACTGCACTCAACTAGCTAAAGCCAGCTGTTTGACGATTACTACGCACGCTACCTCCGACATCTACTTGTAGATACGGACGCTGTGCATCCGAACCACACCAAAAATCCGTTCGTGGATCGCAAATAGTGCGGCGATGACGATTACTGGCTAAAGAGCAATTTCAAAGAGAGGGATAAAAAGAGAAGAGGGAGAGAGTGATACAGAAGAATAAAATGAGCGACTGAGATGTCCTTCTGTTTAGGCTAAAACTACAGTGAAACAACAGGAGACGTAGAAGAAACAGCTGGCTGGATTGGGAGACGAGCACGTAGTTTTAACACGGTGTTATTCACTCTGTTTGGAACAACAATAGCGGATGACGTCGATTGATCTTAAAGGCATACAGTACCGTGGGCCTTGCTGTTTCAAATCCGCTAGCGAATATTAGTGTAAATAGTAACTTCCAAGGAGTCTTCAACAGAGATTACAAATAGAACAGTTTTCCACCTTCGAATGGAGCTTATTCGCCAATATGGATCAATTTCTAATTAAGACAAAGGAATGGGGCGCTTGGTGTGTCCAACAGTGTTCTTGAACTAGTAACGGCAGACATAGAAATATCGTCTCCTTCCACTACGCTAAATGCTGGCATCGATATTGATGTGGACTCATTCCTACTTCGACTACAGCAATTTCTACGTCTCCTGCCAACTCTTATGCAACCAACAGGGTAATATCCGACGAAACTTCATAATCTTACTAGAGTGTTTCACTCTTTTTTCTGAGTATCCTCGTCCATCTTATGATCGCTAATGGTTTCAAAAATGTTCTCTTAGTTGTACATGCCATTCCACAACCAATATCCAGGAACGATGTGAAGTTAAACGACCGAAATCAAAATCTCCAACGTGTAACTTGCGGGAGAGATTGTCCGCTCGAGTGTTGCAACTCAACGACGCCTCAATTTTCTCACTGTGACAACCTTTAATTTTATATTTATTCATTAACCTCTAGTTAAGTTAATGATGTGGAATTTATTCGTAGCTTACAGTCTCTCTTGTAGTCACACTAATCTAATTTTCTTTTACTAGGAACCAAAATAGAGACGATGAAGATTTATGCCAAACATAGTGACTCAGAAGGGTTTTCTTTTTCCAATATTGTCTAACCAGCAAGAAATTTAAAAATAGATCAGTGTTATTTCGAATCCAGCCGACAAGGATTACGAAGAGATTACTCACACTGCTGAGCACTGGTGAAGATCGCCTCACGGGATGTTGGACCCGATCCGGCTGAGTTCACTGCACTCACCTGAAATGAAACGTTTTAGGCAACGGAGCAAAAAAACAAAGAAAGGAGCAGAAGGTGCGGAAGCAAGAAGAAGGCATAACCGCACTACCTCCACTCTCCAATCTCCTTTTGCCGGTGCGTTGATGTCAAAACTACGTTCACTTCCTTGCACTCGATGGCTAATCGGCATTCCATTCTGAAATTCGTCTTTGTCACTATGATGCACCTAAACAGCTGGTCACGACGAAGATCTCTACAAATCGACAGCGTGAATTTTTGTTGTCAAAGTTCACAAATCATAGAAAGTGCTGCTCATATGGTGATCGCGACCATTGCGACCCATTTTACATGAACACGATGTCCTCTGTCCGTAGAATTACAACCTTCAAGCATGTGGAAAGGTAGATAAGTCCTAAAGTAGTTTAAAATTGAAGAGACTTCTAAAGTGTTGAAAGAAAGTGCTGTGGTCCTGCTGAGAAAAGCTTCGCTCAATAAGCCAAAAAACTTCGTAGTTCCGATCCAAATTGCACTCTTCGAGAGCCGCTAGCAATATGCTAAGCAATTGTAGTTATTCTGGTTTTTAGATATTCAATAATGTGTTTATGTCATATTTCTTTTTAACTTAGCAATATTCCACACCTGAACACCAGTAATGAAGAAGAACGTTTGACATGCCGGATCATCATTAGGAAATGTCCACGAGACTCGTACCACTTCATCGGAGACTCGATCCAGACGAACATTTTCGGGGGATGTTGGAACTAGAAAGAAATGTGCCGTCACTTTAACAGATAAAGAGCGAAAAATTACCACCTTGACACGAAACCAAGAAGCTGGTACTGGGTGAGGTAGCGATGGTGATTCTGCTGTTGTCGATCGCTCTAACTCTCAAGTAGTATGTCGCGACTGGCATAGCTCCAAGTGACTGACGGAAGTGAGACTGAGGCGGTTCTGAATGAACTATTGTTCCGTGTTCCATCCAGTCACGATCGCCAGTACGACGAATGTCCACCTCAATGAATGTGAAAGTATGTAATGTAGAACTTGTGCTTTGGGATGTAGTCTTTCACTTTAGAGTACACTCCTTTGTAACCATCTAATTGGTTATTACGTATCATTTGCAACGATTGTAAAACGAACTTCCTCTGTGTTGATGGAAAAAAGTGATAACAAGGCGCTAACGGCGGTACCTGGTATCCGAGTACGTGTGAAGTGTCTCCGGATGTAGACCAGTACACAACATTACGTGGTCCTTGTTGCTCGATTCGCGGTTGCGTAATACTCACTTGTAACTCTGACGGTTGTACGATACCCACTAAAACATTGAGTTCGGTTTATGGAACGAATAGGTGGACGTATAGATAGATCCTTCTAACTATATTGTTAATATGTTGATCGGTAATTTTTGGTTAGTTATGAGCAGTTAGCTTGTTTTGAAACCGATACGGTTAGAACGTAGCTTAGCAGCGTTTAAGGAGAAAAAGCACTATTCTTAAATTATTCCTCAGGCTTTACTCACGAATGTTAGTAAATTTCGGGTACGTCTAAACTCGCACTGAAGATTTCCTCCAAGGATATAATTAAAGGTTCTGTCGGTTATTCTTCTAACGACATCATTATTTTGAGGAAGGATGTGAAACAGCTCTTAGAACTAAAAAAGAAACAATCGACTATGCATTTAGCAAACAATCCACGAAGTGGCAAAGAAATATTTTGAAGTATTTTTAAGATTAGATACATGGAGAGTTATTAGTCTAGATTAGTCTACCTAGATGCAAAAGTGAGAAATGTACGGTGCATCCCGAATGGTGTACTATGCCGTTCGTTACATTGTACGTCACTTAAAAGACGTGAATGAGTGCAACTAGGACCAAGTTGAGTCAAACAGTACTCGGGCGATGTAGTGCCGTCCGAAATTAAGATTCCTAAACTGGAGACAGCAGTTGACGTGGTCGGCAAGTCCCCGAAGACACAGGAACTGTTGCGGATCGCCGGCTACACGCACCCATCGAGAGACTGCCAACTCCTTGAACTCTACTCTTGACGATGAATAGTGTTGTCAGTTCTCTGCCCTGTTCCTTTTAATACCAAGTGGTTCGTAATGGATAGCAAACGATGTACGCACTTGAAATATGCAACAGTGTTAAAGTGCAGCGGAAGCGGTGTCCATAGAAAGAAAACGTCAAGAGGAAAAAGCACCACACGAATTTTTAAGCAGTTATTCTCGTCTAAAACAAAATTCGGCGAAAATTTCTAGAATACGTAAACATTCTGGAACAATTTTAACTTATTATTTATTGCCTCCTCTTTTTTTAATGGCAGGGTATATTACGAAGTTCGCAACATTCTGGGACAATTTATTTACGAGCGGCCATCACCCTTGTTCTTGTGAGAGTGACCCCAGTTTGTTATCATGAGTTCTGAAGGTTTTTTTGCAATATATGAATGGTAAGCGAAAGCGAAAGCAAATACAAGTATAAATAAAAAGGATAAAGCTCTCGATGTTGATTAATCCTTGACGGATGAGCTATGCATTCGATTCATTAAACATCGTTTGGAGATGATTGAATGCATATCTGGCCTTTAAAATGACCTGCAGTGGCCTACCGATGTATCAGGCCATTGCTGCTCTCCTCTTGGACAAGTCTGGTACCAATCTGACGACCCCAGAGGGACAGAAGGCCTTGTGGGCCGCAGGCACGGGATTGATCGCATGTGCGTGTGCTGCACGGCGCCTCCAACCACTGCGCCACACGCACCCTTTCAAGTGTATATTCAAGTATATACAAGTGTAGCACAATCTAACTATACCAAGTAACAAAGCGCAGGTATTAGTTAAATGTACAGTTGGTGGCTACCGCTGTCCAGCCATCCTTGTTTGGTTCGATGACACTGCGGTTTTTCAGCTATAGAAAAATACAATTCTGGTGGCGCCAACATGAAAGGCTTACGAATGCAGAAAGATTACCCAAAACAGGCTCTCGGTGCGAAAAGAAATTGTGGTCGTTTTCTCAAATTAAGACAATATGTTGACATGATGTTAACGAACAGAGATACCTGCTTTGGAGTGCTTCGCCTGGCGTTTACGACGTCTTGACATTTGAACACTGATGTTAGTGTTGGTTAAAGAAATCATATCTGCGATTGATTAGTGTAAGATTAGAAACTATGTAAATAGGTAGCATACTGGCCGGTGTACGTTGCTGTTTCTCCTTTGAAGTAGATTATTTATCGAAACGAACCAGCATGAGAGCCTTCTGGTTGTGTGCTAACGTGGATTACTCCGCTCCATGGAGAATGCCCGTTTGCGTTCCGAGATCGCAACCGGAACGAATACCTAGTGGACGGGTGGAGGTCGGTGATGGTGACCTGAGTTCCACCAGTGTACGACGCACCACTGTGGGGAACTTCTTGCTGCGACTCGTGGATCTGTAATAAGGCTCTATTTCTCCAGGCATATGATCGACTTTGGGAACGTGGCAATGCTTATTTTCTACGGTTTTTCAATACGATATTGAAAATTTCAAAAACACGTGCTGTGACTTTTTCGCATTGTTTTTTTCGTTTCTACTTCAAAGAAGAGAAATCCGGGTTGAATGTGAACATGCTCGAGTACTTCCTACAGTTTCTCTAAATTTAGCAAGAAATGATAAAAAGACAAAATTATTCCATCTACTTACCAAATATTCGTAACCATCAATAGGAGCAACACTTTCATCACAGTTTGGCTTATTCCAACTGAATCTCAACTGTGTCGCCTCTGCCGAAAGAAGAGAGATCTAAACATCGGATATGAACTCGAGTGCGGACAAAAGCAGAAGAAGGGCCTACCTCCGTGGGAATACCGGCCGGTCCAATGCAGGCGTTAGCAGCAGCGACTCCTATGGCCACCTCATCGGTCCGTGCGATAAGCTACAAAGGAAGCTATGTCCACTTTGTTTTATTGGTATAAAAAAAGAAATAAAGAAGAACTACTCATGCAATAGGTAAAGTAAGAAAAGCAGCGAACTTCCTTTGCGTCTCCGATGGCGATGACACGAATATTGAAAACCAAGGTGTCTTCAATTTTCGGAAGCGACACACTGTATTTCTCAACACCTTTTTCCACCTCCTAAACAATCCAAATGGAATGCAGAAAGAAAAAAGCCACTGTATTGATGAAAAAAGGCCGAGTACACGTAATTTCTGAAATGTCTTCGTACCACTTCGTCTGTGCTTCTCCAGTAACTCTCGTTGGGAAGTCTGTATTCCACAACGAATTTACTGACTGGTTTCTGAAAGGATGGCATTCGCCATTGGACTGAAAACCTTTCATCACCGTTACTGACCACCTGAAATCATCGTACTCATTATGGACTTCCTGAACCAATCTCATTCCAAAAAATGATAATTTAAGAAAATTCCTGAGTAATTTATTGCGTAATGCTGTCATAACATCTATTAAAACTCGTTGTTGACAAGAAGTGCCTGAAAGCAAATGGAATGACGGCCCACCTGTGGCTTCTCATTCCAGCGATCCGATGGTTCTTCAAAAGTTTGAGCTTCCAAATTGTACACCTAAATAAAATGTTTTCGAAAAAATGATAAGTATCGATTTTCGTGAACACTCACTTGTTTCGGTTCATGGTCGACGAATGCGATAACTCCGATAAGGTATTTTGTATCTGGCAACAGTCCAGCCAACGTGTGGGTGAACACGTAAGACGGTACGCGGGCGCGTTCGACTCGTCGCGAATCCGGTAAGACCTCAACGGCCATGACCTTAACAGAGACCTTTTACCAGCAGTACCCAACAATCTGTGCGCTCCATCACTGATAGAACACCGACAACCGCTCCTTTCAAAGCGCTTCGATTTCTAAATGTATGTAGTCCTTTGTCGCCCGATGTCAAGAGTATGCTAAACCATAAGCTTTTCAAAAAAGTCAAAATGTGAAAAATTGAGCACTTCTTAAAAAATGACAACATCGCGCGCTATGCCGCGTTTCGAACGTTAAGTTACTTAGCGTGAGAGTCTTCTTATTCGCAGTGTTTCATTTACAATCACACGAACTGCGATTTCTTGTTCATCGGAGGTCTTCAAATTTTCTTCCACACCAATCTAAATCTGACGATGTTTAAATTCAATTTACACCACTAAATAGGTTTTTCATTGCGTGAGTCGGCATATCAAGGCGGCGAACGCAGAGCAGTCCGTAGAGGTGTCCTGTAAAATACACATGGTCTTTAGTTCGATCCTGTGCTCTAGCTAATATAGCCACCCATTCGGTAAAGAGAGGCGAGTTAGTACTAGACATGTATGAAAGGATGAAAGCACAGATTTAGTACAATCGTAAATCACTGCATAGATGATTGATTCATGTAGTCACCTATGCGACAATTAATGGAGTCGAATGAATGACGTATCTCTAAGAGTCCGATTTGTTCACTACAGTAAAATTTCGATTAAAAATGAACACCGCATTCAGTTGCCTCGTTGGCTTACATGTGCTTTAGTTAAGATTGCTAAATTCTTCCCACGAGACCAGTTTCTTCTTTAAAGAGGCACGTATCAGAGGGCTAGACAACCGTAGAACACATGATCTTTTTATCATTTATGATCCGGCATTCATAACGCGGTTTCCTACCTCATAGTGCTGAGCGCGTTCGTCACTTATCGGCTCCCATGCAATGCGCAGTTCCGAGTCCGTACGATAGACGAGATGAATAGCATTCGAGATTGGCACAGCTGAAAAGTCTTTAGTAATAAACTGTACAAGATCAGATAACGGTCTAGTCACGAAACAATCCTGAAGACAACTCACGCTCTCCTTGAGTTTTTGCCTGCAAGAGGTCTGTATTCCAAGGCCCAATCCTACGCTGACGATCCACAGCCCGAATTCTATAAAGCAAAAAAACTCCTTAATATATTAGCTAAAAATAGAGTCAGGTCCATAAAACTCACTTGACGTTATAGCTGGTCGCTGGCAAGAGGTTGGTCACAGATACATGGGGCTGAGTGACAGTTTGGCGATGAACATCAAATGGAGACTCTTCACCGATTAGTTCAACCTAAGTTTTCTGTGCTCACTGTCTGCTAACCTCAACCGTCGTGAAACGATTGTCTATTTCGCAGGTACTTAGGATGCCTCAGTCGGGATCAACTATCACAAAATATAGCTAATCCCGGTAAACCATTTTTCACACAAGGGAGAATATCAAATTTTGGTTGAACGTTCGTTATAATTTCTCCAACAAAGTGTCTGATTTATCTGTGGACCCCGTAAGTAATTATTCAAGAGATACCTGGTATTCTCCGATTGAACCACACTCAGGAACATCCCATTTGATGGCGATCGAGTACTGTCCTTCATGGGTGACTTCCAAATGTCGAGGAGGGGTGATATCATCTTGAATTGCCTCGAATTTGTTTTGTAGCTTTTTCACAAGCCAATCTTAGGGAAAAATAAAGAACTAGTTCTGTACTAAAAATCTCCTATTCTGAATAACGATGAGGCTAATCTTAACTCTTTTATTTACTGCCTTTTTCTTCTTAATGGCAGGTTATGTTTCGAATTATAACCCGTATGAAATGCTGAGATATTTGCAAAACTCCGGACCACAGGTGTATGCAGTGGGGAACGAACACGCGCTGTTGTCCTTACCGGGGAGCAGCGTACTTCACCACTACACCATCCGGGTCCGGACTTCTCCCCCGTAAGGACAACAGCGCGTGTTCGTTCCCCACTGCATACACCTGTGGTCCGGAGTTTTGCAAATATCTCAGCATTTCATATATGAGGCTNTTTTCTTCTTAATGGCAGGTTATGTTTCGAATTATAACCCGTATGAAATGCTGAGATATTTGCAAAACTCCGGACCACAGGTGTATGCAGTGGGGAACGAACACGCGCTGTTGTCCTTACGGGGGAGAAGTCCGGACCCGGATGGTGTAGTGGTGAAGTACGCTGCTCCCCGGTAAGGACAACAGCGCGTGTTCGTTCCCCACTGCATACACCTGTGGTCCGGAGTTTTGCAAATATCTCAGCATTTCATATATGAGGCTAATCTTAAACCAAACCTGATCATGGCGGAATAAGAAAGCTAGTTAAGGATAGCACCGTGCATTATCTTTTAAGGTCAGTGTATCAATTTGACCTCATTATGTCAAACTGTGATTGGAAGTGTTTCATATCCCATATCAATAACCATCATATGCTTGACGCAAAAGTAACGATAGTTTTGATTATAAGTACTGCTTCAGCTTAACTGGGTTCATTGCTGGTTTGGGCTCCCCAGATCAATCCCGCTGACGGGTGATTGCTGATGGCAAAAGATCGATACTGAAGAGTAAGTACCACTCCTTAACGAAATTTCGTATTACTTCATTATTTTATTTAGCACTTATACAATCCTTCATCAATTACTGTGATCTCAACACTTCCTTTTCCTTTCATTCGGTTCGTTGCCTCGCATCCGTCATCAAAGAAAGTCTCCGGATTTTACGCTGGTTCGGCTGCCGCTTGAGGACTTTATCATATTAATGAATGTGGTTGAATGCGTGTCGATCTAATTCTCTCTGGAATGCCCGCAAAGCTTTTCTGGGTTCGCTGCACTCTACCAGCTGTGATTGCAGGTCTCTATGACTAGGAAGGAACTTTTCCCAGGAAAACCCGGCATCAAATAATCGATTCAACATGGGTGGACGATCCTGTTAGTTCAAAGCATAGGATCGAAGCAAAAATCACGTCTGTGTCATAGAATACCTTTCTATACTGCGCTACAGCTGCTCAATCGGTGTAAAACTAGAACTTTTTTAATGACGCTGAGATGTTTGCAAAACTCCAGACCGCAGGTGCCTGCGCTGGGGAACGAACGAGCTATTGTCCTTTCCGGGGAGCAACGCGTTCACCACCACACCATGTGGATCCTTCGTTTTGCCTGTCTCTCAGCTAGTTCTATTGATCTTTTGCCATCAGCAATCGCCTGTCAGCGATCACTAGAATTTTTAATCACTTCGGTTTGGCGTAGCAGAGACAGTGTCTTGATGTAGTCCCGCTTAGTTTCCACCTAGATTTTGCACCAATTCGCAGCGAAGAAATTGTCTACAGAGTCGATCACAGCGAATTTTTCGAAAGGGTTGCTATCGAAACATCAATAGTATTAGACAATGACACGAGTTATAAGTCGAAAAATGCTCAGAAACCATTAGTTTTTCACGCTTTGTCAAAGCTTAATTGAAGATCTTCAGGTTTTTTGAAAACTTCTCACATCTCAAAAACTTTAGAAATCTGTGCAAAAAATTATTTACAAGTTTCTCTTTTTTCTTAAAATTTCGAAAAGGCTCTTCCTTTCTCGCCTCAGAGGTTGGAAAAACTCTGATGCTTTATCGATGAGCATTGATCCATTTCTGATTATTCCTTCGCACTTCTTTTCTTTCATAATTTTTTATACTCTTGCTTTATTGTAAGGTTGCTGAGTCAGTGGATATGCATTTGATTCGTACACTGATTTTCGAAGGTCTCAATGTATCCCTGTACAATCGTGTATTATATCGAGTTTCCTATGTATTAAATTGATCGAGTCCCAAGATATTATTAGGCGGGCCTCAGAAGATATAAGACAAGGGGATGATCGTTCTTCTTTCAGATAGCACTTAATCTCAAATCACTATCTGTCTTCTAGCCTACCCCGTATAAAATCTAAAATGAATCCTGAAAATTATGGTGAACCTCAAGCTGACTTCTAGGTCTGACCTGCTCCGTGCATATCTACAACATTGTAGTTTCTCCTGGAACTATGCGGTATTGGTGGATTGTTTGTAAAGCTCTCAAACCAAGGAAGAATCGGAGAAAATCAACAAACATAACCAGTGCTCGAGCACTCGTCTAAGTCGGCTTCGATTCGCACCTAGGATATCTGCACTAGCCAGCGTATAATGAGATCGCCGCTTTCTTGTATCACTGAGGTTCAAATGGGAATTGGAGCACAAACGGAACTTTCCAGTTCGACTTGCTGCATTTTTCAAACTTGAAGAAAAAACCTTTTTTGAGAAACTGTTCGACGGTACTGGCTAGTTAAAAGGAAATTATTGCCTTTTCTTTCAGTATTCAAGCAATGTTCAAGCAGAGAGAGCAAGAACAAGGAAGAATAAAAGATCTTTACAATGTGTCGTTTCCTTGTTCAGCAATCGCGAGGTTTTTAAACAGCATACATTTACTTCCGGCAGTCGTCAACCACATGCGACTATAATCAGCTGTTCTAAACTTCCTCATTGGAAGTCACGAAAAAGCGGCTCTGAAGAAGGCGCAGCCGAAACGTCAGCTAGCGTTGTATTGTATTGTGTTTTTTATGGAAGTAAATGTATGCTGTTTAAAAACCTCGCGACTGCTGAACAAAAAAGCGACACATTCATATTCCAATGCCGAGGTTAAAAGAAAGTCGATCCTGGGAACTATTACAAGATCTTTACAATGTTTTTATTCGCTTGTTATCCCATTTCAATCGGTCTGCCAAATCAAGGGCTGGTAAAACTGGCTTAAAAAAATACTGGCAAAATCCAAAATAATCTGTTGAGAAACAACTATGATTTGTGGATCGCTGCCGTTTTCGAGGAATCTTACTCTTGAGGTATCAAACACCTATCATATCTTTAAAAGCTAGCGAGGGTTAGTGGTAAGTACTGAGAGAGCCATAACGCTGCCATTTACTAAGTGTTTAAGTATATCGGAGTTTTAGTTTGGGTTTTCGAGTACTTGCAAAAGAAAGAACACAATATTTAACAATATTTCGTAGAGTTTAGGACTGACCACTCTCGCACTTAATGGAGACGATCTCGTTCCGGGCTCGGATTTCGGCCGTTTCCACAAGGATCTCATTGTTTGAACCAAGTACTTTGATACGGACAAAGTAAGCAACTCCAGTGGGAAGTTTTGGTATCTGAACGGGTAAAATTTTCTGGAAACTTGATAATTAAGGATGACGAAGCAGTTTGTTGAATACTTAAATGGCTAGCTTAAACGGATGATTGAATAAAGAACAAAGGACAGAAACAAATCGCAAATTGCCAAAGATAGTGTCGGATCTTTCGAGAACTTCACGTCAAATTCCTCACTTGCACTCGGTATTGGTGATTGGGTCCTTTATAGGGAATAATTCCTGAGTGTACCATCCAATGCTTGTCCTTTTCGGCTCGATACTCTACGAGAAAACCCTTCACATCAGAGTCCGAATGATCGCCTGAAAATAACATACGATTTTTCGCATGAAGACGACAATCGCAATAAAAATACCTGTTTGGATTCCTTCCCATTCGACTGTTAACAGGCTTTCGGTACCTCTTGATTCCCTTCGAAGACGTAATGATTCTGAAATCACAATAAATTCTCTTCTCCTAACCCAATTTGTACAATCGACTTATTAGCTTAGCTTATCACGAAGAATTCGACTCTTTTCTTGTATGGTGATAAAGTCACCTCAAGTCAAGGCCGATCACCTAGACTAAACTGGTTTGCGTTTCGTCAATCCAGCTCTTTCAATGGACACCTAACCTAACCTAAACGGAAACGAAAACGCGATAACTGAATTGCATTTAGCTCAAATACGGAAATAATTTCTTCGCATCCTCTTAGAAACTGTCGAATGATCCGGTTCCTTTGGGTACACTAGGGTGAAAGTCTATGAGTTGTAACAATCCCCTGGCAATGCCTTCATCTACGATGATCTCCTCTGCGACATTTCCTAATCAACTACCAATTACGGAAGCATCAAGCATTAAGCAAAAAGGCGTCACATAGTCGTTGATCGAACAGGTTCTAGACCCGACACTAGCTATGCCCATATTTCTCCACTTCTTTAGTGGAAGAATTTCCTAAATGTCACCTACAATAAGGAAATCGTTAACGAATATCAAACCACATAACTTCTGGAAAAACATTGGACAAACGGCCATCACTTAGGAACTTGTGGATGCAGCCATAAGAGTTTGACCGGCAGATCTTACAGTATTTCTGCATACGCGTAAAAAACATTTCATAAAAACGTTATTAAGAGTGTTATTTCAAAGCAAAAACCACTGAGCGAAAAAAATGAGAATCCATTCCAGTTTCTTTTCAACGTAAATACTTCAATCTTCTCCGTAGACTAACAGAAATTGTCAAGCAAAGGCGACTGTTATGTTACAAGGCAGACTGATGCTCCGCAGATTTTTTCCCTTTGCCCTTTAATTTGGCGAAAAAATTCGATCTATTCATCATCATGTATAGTTTTAGAGTTGGTCGAACTATTAGTGAGGTTCCGACGGTCTTGCAAGACAAGAATATTTGCGCTCAGTTAAACTCTTCGACACGTCTTATCCCATATCTTCAATTAAACTCTAGTATTTCCTTAAAACCGAAGCGACCAGAATATCTGTAGCTAGTAATTTTGAAGGTAAAGGTTAAAGTAAAAGAAAATATCCTGATTGTCTTGTTTTTCTACTAGGTTCCGGCTGCTCCAATCCGTTCCACAGTTCTTCGGGATCAATCGATTCTCACAATGTGATCGATTGTTATTGGGGTCGTTAAAGAAAAAGCCATATATTTTCTTGCTGTGCTTAAGACGTGACAGCCTCCATCGCTACGAGGCGTTTGTGCGATTTATGAAGATGGAAACGGGAAAATGCTATCGCAGCATTCCTTAACTAGATCTTAATCATTTGCAATGGAATTCCCGTCACTGATTATCACGCATCAGCAGAATATGCTGGAAATTCGAAGGCGTTTCGACTATGGATCTGATCGATACCTGAGAGGGCGACGATGACGGAGAGAGCGACTAGCAACGTGGCCGTTGTTCCCCTCGAAAATGGACCCATCTGACCTGAAAACCTCTTCAAGTAATCGGATAGGCAACATCGTGAGCACAGATATTGTTGCTCTAGAAAGTGATAAAAGCACGAATCAAGAACATGTTGATAAATTGATTGATCACCACGGGTTTCAAACTCATGTCGTTGCAAAAGTTGGTGATTCACTATGAGAGTCGGTAGACGATTACAAGATTTTCTGTTAAGCAACAAAAAGCATAGTCATACATTCTTCATACAACTACACACCAGTAATTCTCTTTTTTCTTACGTCAAAGCTCCAACTCCAATGGGCAGCCTCTACTATGCCAAAACTAACCAAAATAGTTAACGAAACCCCAGACAGGTGACTTCAATACTAGAGATTTTTTTAAATAAACAGGATACGGAGGTGATTCCATTCTCGGACAAAGGTCAAATATAAATCATAGAGGACAGGTGAAACGAAAGATAAATCGGGTATTAATACAGCACTTTAGAGATCGTCTTAAGTCGGGTATTTAATCCAGTTTTTTATTAGCATCTCTTCTAAACATCCGAAGCCTCCGCTCATGCAGTGATATCACCACTCTTTCTTTATTTTTAACCTCGATACCTGCACAGAGGAGCGCTAATATGGAGGATCAATTAGGATAGTGTTGACCCTGGAACAACTCCCATATGACTGATATTTTGATGACTGGGCATGAATTTTTCCTCAGTTCCTCTCAAATAAACGGCTAGAGCGTTTTTGGGCCTTTATACCAAAAATAATAGTTGGCCTTCGAAAATAGGAAAGAGCACCGCGTTCCGATCTAGTTCATTTTTGCCTGGAAGCCAACGATTCTCTGCATAGGTTTACTCATAACTGGATTTCTATAAAAAAGCACAGAAGTCAAGCTCAGCATTTATAGTTCTGCCAAAAGGATCAACCTCATCTTTATATCCCATTGTAAAAGAGCCAAGAACACCATTTCGTTGAGTGGAAGGAACAACTGGGATGAATTATTATTTATTACACGATCCGTCATTACATCTACTGTTTGGATCTTAGCACTCCTTGCATTCGATTCGTTTTTCTCTCTTTCATCGTCCAAAAAGGTCTTCAAACATATAGTGTACTTCGGACAGTGTCTAAAGACTTGATCTTCGTTATGAATTTTTTAGAGTGCTAAACAAATCGACTCTCTTTGCAATCTTCGGAATAGCCGAGATACGGTGTAACCACCTGGATTGGAGAGGGCATTGTGGAGTGTATTTAGAGGATTAGTACCCATTAAGTTATTTTTAAGCTTTTCTACTACTTGAAGAAAAACTGGATCAGGCAATGTTTCTTCATATGAGAAAAAATCCTTCAACAAATGATAGCTCAACTAAAATGCCAAGTAATCAGTGTCCAAATTATTGAATATTGCGACGAACAGCAACTAAACAAACCGGCTAATATCAATCTATCCAGTCATCATTATTTTAAAAAATTCTTAGCACTGTTAATCAAAAAAGTGCAAATGGGACGGATAGCGCAGTGGTAGTGATGTCCGCATCACGAGCATAGCGCGAGTTCTATTCCACCCGAAACAACCAAGCCTCTCATTCCTCCGGAATCAGAAAATTGGCACCGGACTTGTCTGGGAAAAAAATTACTCTCTGCAATCCAATTGGAAACGCTCCAGCACGGCTATCTCAGAGCTGCCGAGAGAATTTCTCCACCAGCATTCTACATCATTCACGACGAAATAAAAACCCTCAAGCAGCAACCGAAGTCTCATGTAAAAGTTGGAAGACCCTTGTGGATGATAAATGCGAGTAAAAGAATCGAATGTGAGAAGTGCTGGGATCCATACAGTAGACGTGAAGACGGGTCAAATAAAATGAAAAAAAAAGAATGCAAGAAAATATTATTTGAACTGGTCAGTCGATCTTTGTCAAAGATGCAAACTTGGAAGGTCAAATAGGATTTTACCTGTAGACAATACAGTACCTAAGCATAGGAAATATTATGAAAGTGCAATTCACTCACGCTTACAAGTTTTCAAAAAATGATGCGATGGCTGCCTATTGATGGGAACAATAAGGAAACAAGACAGCAGCCATTCACGCGAAAACTATGAAGATACGTCAGTCATTCGATTCGAATTGTATAGTGAAGAGAAGTTGAAACGAAAACGTTGCAGTTACCAGTGACACAGCAGCGCGAAAAACTGTAGACGCACGCATGGGCAAATTCTGGTGGGTAATTGAAATAAACTCAACAAGAGAACAACTGGTGATGGTGGAATTTGAGAGAAAAACCTCAAAAACTGGTTGAACGAAAAAGAAATCACTTCGAAAAATGAGCACTAACAACTTCGATGTCACGGTCAGAATCGTAGACGACCTTCATCAATGCTGAAGCCTCAAGTCAGCCATGAACTGAACTTAAATGAACATGGACATTGTGTAACGAATTTTCTACCAACTGAAACAATCAGAAGATGCTATTCACCAGTGAACCACTCCATTTGGCAGATGCAATGATGCGCACAGGATAGTAATATAATCATAAAAGCACAAAGGAATAGTATGCGAGCTAATGTGACGACGAAGACGACTTCCATAGATCTTTAGGTCTGTGTTCAATCCTACTCAACTGCTGAAAATTCCAAAGTCGAATCGATTTCTTAGCTTCCAGATTTTTCCTCCTATGTTTAGTAGCACTGTTCAAAAAGCAAAAGGAAAAAATTTAAAAAAGTAAAAAACTATTTGAGAGAAAGGCGGAACGGAAGACCCGCATGGTCCTTGATAAACGCGTTAGTTTCTGGAAAGGGTAAAAGCATGTTCGATCCCCACTGGAGACACCTGCGGTCTGGAGTTTTGCAATATCCCAGCACCACTGTAAAATGATTGTGTTCAATGAAACGAAAAATCAGAGATACTGTGAGTGTTAAAGCAAGTATATGAAGAAGTGATGAAAACTCGTAACAGTTACTTGTGATAAAAGAACGGAACTAAATGAATCGAACACTGAAGTGAGGTAACATCGCGGTAACAGCCAATGGGTAAAAGAGTAATTCTGGAGATTAACCATAAATAATTACATAAAAGTAAAGACCTGAGCCTGATGACCACTCCCGCAGTCTCAGCGTTTCAGATGACAGGATGAAACATGGACATTCTGGAGAACTACTTGAAGAAAACGCTCGGCTTAACGCTCAAGAAGAACTTTCCCGTGCAGATGACATTGGGCTGACATCGATTTCTTTGCCGACCATCTATTATAAAGGTTTGAATGGATGCGTTCGCAAAGTTGCAATAAGTGTCAGATCGGTAGTCAGCCGGAAAGCGGCCGTTCCGACGACGGAAGACTTCCGAAGCATTCGAGTTCCTAGCTGAAGTTGTCTATCGACGGTGGCATTGCTTTCATCAAATATTGTTTCCATCCACCCGCATTTTTGCAAGAAAGACCGGAATTTTGTAAGAAAAGCTAAATAACTGTTTTTTTTCCAAAAAAAGAAAGCCTTAGAAAAAGATGATCGTGAATACTCCGAAAATTCGGTGCATTCCAGCGATGCCAGCAGGTAAACGTGTTTCTGAAGCTCTACGAGGTACCAGAATTCAGTTTTGTAGATCAAATGCCGTGGATATGATGAGAATCCGAAAAGAAGAAAGAGAAAAAACGAATAAAAGAGGATGTGGAAAGCAGCTGGGAATTGCAAACACTTTAAGTAGTTTTATGCCGAAAATGCTACGAAAGAAACCAAATCAACGAGAAAAAAGGATTGAAGCCAAAAAAAAACCGATAGTGGATTATTTCGTGCAACGACCTCGAAAGGGATTCGCAAGAAAACAGTGTATACGAGTACTCAGTGAGAAAATGGAACAATGAATGGTAAATAGTTTTTGAAGCGAACGTTGCAGGGCCTACGCACTGCCGTCGACCGACGACGGAAAAATTGAAAACTTGGAAGTACATATGATCAAATCCATGATACAGTAGGCTGTTTCCAAACACTCAGGCACTTTATCTGATTCTTGAAAGAACTCAACGAATGCGCAGTGAGGTCATTGAATGCCGGCGCGTTTTCTCGAGTCACGAAAATGTGTGGGTGACCTATCAACCAGGGTATACGGTCGGTGGAATCGTAATGAACGAGTGAATGTGATCGGCTGTCTCACCATATCTCGCCGCCCAATCTGCCCCCACCCTGATGGAGCCGTCAAGGTAAGTAAACGTGTGGCGGCTCGAGTAACAACACTGCTACAGACGGCATTGTGGTCAGCACAGACGGAAGGGTCAAAAGCGCATGGAACGATTTTGCAAAACAGAAATGGTAGAAGAATCTGAAGAACTTCTGACAAAAATACGAAAAATAGGTTATATTATTGACCAGATATGGCTTAATAATTCTTGAACGGAAGCTAAAAAATCAACAGTCACCGAGAAATGAGGCGCCCGAGCACGCCGATGTGGAATGTGCGCTGCCGAGGCGTAAATATTTAGTCAAGATATGAACAGGACTTGGGACCGCCGACTCCTGGCAGTGTTCACGGTATGGATTTGAGTATGATCGGTCCTTAGGAGTGAATGGAATGTGGTGGAGATGACTGGGCAATAGGGCGTGGTGCAATCGCGCGGCCATTGCTGGCGTGTTGATACCACCAATTCCCTTCATTCCCACACTCTCCAAAAAGCGAAACGAGTTTGGGTAGCGCCATAGTAGGAACACGAAGACTTCTTCAATCCATCCTTAATTCAAGGATAACATTATCATGGCGGTTCAAAGTCAACTGTATCTCTCATTTGACCCGTTGACCTTCTCCTTGAAAGATCGCTCCTCTTAATGAGTTATAAAATTTTGCTAATTTCTGAAATCGATATCGACTAGCATTCCTCCGTAATTTCCTTTCCTAAAAAGGCTAACGAAAACGTTCAATTATCTTCCTCAGTCATTATGAAAATGATGAGTAACCGTGTGCACTCTATTTGTAAAAGACTTTGTCTTTCTTGTATTTAACAAAGCTTGAGATACGACGGTAATCTTGGAAACTCAGGTCGGTGCACTAATAGGATAACATTGGACTGCTTTCTTCCTCTGAAAGTTTTCGTCTGCTAAGCTCATGCTGGTGAATTCCACAGTTATTCACACTTCACGGAGAAACTTAGGACGTAACCGAGATGCTAAAGTGGAATGGACCCCGAACACACATGTAACCTACTGCTATCCATCTTCGATGTTGTATTCCACCTTGAGTTACCTTTTTACGTAAGTAACTCTAATCGGTTCTTTTGCAAAAGTTTAAGAACTGCCCTCCATGCTCTTACGACCGAGCACAGCCGGTCCGTGGAAATATGTCGTCATCCGCTTGAACACGTCCGCAGTTTATTTGCAAAGAGAAAGCCACAAATTTACCGAACAAATACAGAGATCAAAAGAAGACTAAGAAGTCGCCGATAAACTTGAATCCTCATCGAAAAGTTTTCTAAGAAATGAAAAATTCGGAAAAATAATAAATAAAAACGTAAGACATATGGAAGACATGGATATTGACCTTAAGGATTATGTCGTAATGACTTGTCCTGCGAACGTTGTGTCTTCTTATAATAGTGTTTATCACAAATATGTGCTGAGGAACTGGTTGGCTTTCGTTTCCACACACAGCGGTAGTAAGTCGAAAAGAGTGAGAACGAATTTTGCAGCTGTAGCTCCCCAAGAAGGAACACTAATAGTACTTTAAGATTGCAACAACTATACTTATTAAATTTCTTTACAAGCAAGCAAAAAGCAATTTGAGCAAGTTTGGAACAAGTTAAATTGGCCGGAACCCATTCCGAAATTCCGTATCTAATGTGTAGAAAGTGGATTTGGTCTTTGTTTCGTTCTAAAGAACAGAAGAACGACAAGGGCATATCAAAATTCGTTGTTTCCAGTGCCGCCGTTTGCGAACCTGCGGATTCATTAGAGTACATCAACTTGAGTGCGCATGTGGCGCAGTGGTCGGAGGCGCAATGCAACATACACAAAGGATCGATTCCCCGCCCGCGGCTCACTAAGGCTTCCATCCTTCAAGGGTCCGTCAATTAGCACTAAACTTGTCTGCGAGGATAGCAGATCTGGCTTGAAGCATCGGTAGGCTACCGCGAGTCATTGTAAAGGCCAGATATGCATTCAATAACCTCCAACGATGCTTAATGACGACGAATGCATGGGGCATCTCTCAGGGATTGATCAACGCCGAAGGCTTGATCCTTTTTATATCCATTCAAGAACAGTTATAAAACGTTGGATTAAAGCGGCATTGTGATTTGAGAGCTTCATTTGGAAATATTGCGATGGTCACGAGAAGTAAATCATAGCTGCTGTTCGCGTTTATGCCGACTGTCACCGAACCAACCGTAACAGAATTTCCTATGGATGAACCAGTATTGAACTCAATGATATGGTAGAAATTCTTCGAAGAGAAGACAGCACGTGGAAACCACTTCTGTCCTACTGTTCGAAGTGTATGAAAACGTTTATACGAATCAATCGAAGTTTTGTCAGGTAACAATAACCTTGGCGATGGGAGTCGACTCAGCAGCGTTTTCCACGTCATGCGATCTAGGTTAGTTCGTAGTATCCACTCAGTAGTTCCGGAATCAAACAGTTGTGAAGCAAACCGTGACGGTAAACGAACTTCTCAACAATTTATAACTCTCGGTTTAGCAAGGTGAAGTTCGTTGACAAAGGAAAATCACAAATTGGAAAAGTTTTAGCATACCACTTGAAGTGGAGAAAAGAGGAGGAGCATGTTATCCATGGCAGATTTCTTTCGTGTTTAGAAGTAGTAGCGTTCGAAATTGGATGGAGGTGTCGTGATCAAAGCGCGAAAGGTGTTGACAAGATAGCGATGAATCGGAAAATCGTTGGAAGGAAATGCTTAGTGGGAGTCGTATGGATTGCTGTTTCTTCACTAGAAGCTATCGTGTTGCAATAACCTTTCTGCAATCTACTCATTTAGCGTGACGTTGTAAACCGAAAAGCGTAAAAGCCATTTCGTTGCAATTGATTGAGGTCTGGTGTCGTCAGAATTCTCTCGAGCTGATGATGTTCATCGTCGACAATTGGCGATATACCTCTATGTACTTCCTCATGTTTTGTTATTCAAAGCAAGTAGAATATTGAGCGATACGATAAGTCAGCAGATGTAAGAAAAAGGAAAAAGCAAACACTTTTAAAGAAAATATGGATATAGAGGTACCATGTAGGAAAAATGTTTCGCTGCCTTATTACTTAAATGAAACAACAGAATTGAATCAAGTTGTTCGATAATGAGATTAGGTACACAAAATGCAGACGATTAAGAGCTTAGTCACACCTCCACTCTTCAACGATCCTTGGCCGATCGAGGGCCGAGAGAGGGAGGTGGGCGGCAGAAAAGAAGCAGTAGTGGCCCGAAATTCCTTTGCCAAACATCGTCTTGGATTGTCGGGCCGCGCACCTCGTCTTCGTTGTGCCCACATGCAATATGCAAACAGACTCTCAACTTGCAAGGAAGGGCTACGACAACGCCGACACACGTTCTCAGCAGGTTCTTTGAATCACCCACACCCACATACGGCCGCAGCACTAAAACAGTGCCTGTGCAGGTAGGCGACGCCCTCCTCTCGTGGACGACTGCCATCACTCACTCCAGCCATAGCACTCCCGTCGTGAATCTCGTAAAACATGAAAGACTAGGGATAGCACGTAGCATTCACAAGAGTGAGAGTGGCTGTTAGAGCAAGGACCATTCAGAGAATTCTGAATATGTTACTTACAAGCACAAGCAAATTTCGAATTACTGCAGAACTACTCGTCATTCGTGCTATAAACAACTCCTTATCGGGAAGCAATGCGAAGCTGCGTGAAAGCAGTATGCACTGTTTCCAGTGCTTCGTGACGACCTTATCAGTTTCAATTTCAGTTCATCAGTTATCAAAGATATTTGTTCTTTGCATGCTCTCCTTTATAATTGATAACCAAACTGCTATATGTTATTCAGTTGACTAATTCTATGTAAAACTTCTTAGAGAGCATCCTATAATGGAAAAGAGAATTCAATAGATGCTCACATTGAAGAATTGCCCAAACGACTGCAGATTTTTTCACAGCGTCATAACTGGATCGCAGTCGTTTGATGTTATGTTATAGCTTGTTAAAAGGTTTTACACACATTGATGAAGTGCAACTTGCTAACCTTACAGAAAGGTAACTCTTCGAAATTGTTTTAGCCTCACCGATGTCACAAATTATGTGTCGCTTCGAAAACGTTGGTTTAGCGAACGAAGCTTTTACATCAATATTCCTAACCGTGCAGGAATGGCTTTCTCTTGCTTATGAAAATTAAATTATAGTGCTTTAAAATCATAAAAA